CCCATGCCTTTCCCCATACCTACCTCCTCTATCCTCCCTCTAGAAATGCTCCATATAAGGTTTCCTTCTTTCTCCCTCCCTGATTTCCACCTCATCTTCCTCCCTCGAATTTCAGAATTCGTGTTTTTTCTTTCCTCCTCTTTTGCTACAGAAGCCGTTGTTCTCTTGATCCACATGGGACCTGCAGTAGTAAGGTTCTTCTGTTTGTCCAAAATGTCCATAATGCTTCACAAAAGTAGAAAGTGACAGAAAAGTGACAGAAAAGAAACAGGTCTTTTGTCTTGAACCTCACAACATTATGTTTGCAATAAATACCATTCAAAAGTTTGATAGCAATTTGATTCCTGATGGCCATGAATGCTTATCACTTTCACATACTATATTTATTCCAAATATATAAGGCAAGGCCATAGTTTTGGCTGATGGTTTTCGCTCCCTAAACCCTAAATGTCGTAAAGGAAGAATGCAAAACTTTGTCCATTAATTGTTAAAAAAAAGCTTTTCCGGGCTTTGGATGATCTTTGTACTGAAAGCTCACTTTAATCTAATACAGAATAATTATATTTGAAACTCTGATACTAAGAGCTAAAGGGGAAGAATATATACCTCAATTTGTCATTTTTCCTGGGTTGGACTTCAATGATCCATTTGAATTGAAAGGAATCTCATGTTTGGTTGAGTTATCTGAGCTGGAATTGATTGGAATGTAGCATTAAGGACCATCCGCAGATCCACTTGATGAACATTTGAAGAATTTTATATAGTTTAGTAGCTTTCATAAGCACAACATGAGAAGAGAGAGAGACAGAACCACATAGCTCACCTGGAACATGTGGACGCCACACTCTTTCTTCTCCCTTCATATCCCTTAGTTAGTACTTTGTCATTATATTATGTTGCATCAATGGAGGGCTTAATCGGAAATCCTGAGGGACCTAAATCCTGAAAACTGTTTGGTAACATTCATAATAAATCCTATTAAATCACGTGTGACTGTTTGGCTATAGAGCGGATTTAACAAGCGGACTCTTTCTCTCGAGCCAATGAATTTCATAAATCCGGCAAAAAACGGGATTTCAGAAATCCGGGATTTAGCATGAAAATGTTGAATTTTCCGTCTGCGGCGGCTTTCATTTGCCGTGAGATTTGGTTTTGCATATTAGGCCGTTTGGCTGGATTTCTCTCAAATCCGGCCTAAATCCTGCTACCAAACAGCCCCTAAAGATGCAATGAGACATACTGGCAGTAGAAGTTATAAATGGCATATGACTCAGAAAATGATAAGGGGATCTCTACTTACTAAGGGTTTTCTAAGGAAATTTCTCAAGTTTTCCACCACTAAACAAGCATCATAATTTCTATCAAACAATCCTTCTCCCCTGGTGGTGCCTAATAAGAAAAAAAAAAGTGTTAGAACTGGGAGGCATAGTCATCTAAAACTCTGGAAACAAGTTCCTTACCTCTCAGTTAACTGGACAGTAAATATTGTGTTACACATCATATCTTTTTGTGTAATGAAAAACGATAGGATTGGAAAAGAGAGTATGGAAACTTCCACTCTTTCTCTCTCCACAACTTTCTCTCTCGTTCATTTGTCAATCTCTCTCATGTTAATGACTAAAACCTAAATTATATTTTTTTTCTCCACCAGCTAGTTGCCCTGTTATCTAATATGAACAAAGATGTGTAGGTAGACCACAGCTGGCAATGTCCACCGCTTCGCATGTGATAGTACATCAGATTCATGATAATATATAACTGTCAGTGCTAACTTCAATGAAATCCTGAACAAGATCCTAATCACAATTCCACCATTAAAAATATATTTTTTTCATACAGAAAGGCAAAAATAGCTTCTACGAGAAACTCTATTAGCTTGTTTTCTGAATTCCCTAACGAAATTCTGCATTTCAAATTCAGGGTTTTCAAGCATGGGGAAGGAGAAAATGGTTTTAAGAGTTTTATAACTTCTAGGCTTTATCATTGATCCTTCTTGAAAGCAAGATTGGTGCCATAAACTATAAGCTCTTTAAGAAATTTTCTTTAGATTGTTTTGAATCTTCAATATTATGTGCTCTAACTGAATTTCTCACAATAGAATCAAGGAAAACCAGCTTCTTAAAAATCAGACTCTCAACATGAACCAGAAAAAGTATTTCAAGATTGGTTGTTTGAAAAGAAGTTCAATTCAGCATGTTACCAGACATGCTGACTATGATTTAGTTTGGGATAACTTTCTAACTGCTTTCTACAACAGCTTTTTAGCACCAAAATGTCATGAAAGTAACAAAAAAATAGTGACAAAAAATAGTCCCAAATAATCCTAAATGAAAACTTTAAGATCATCACGTATGCCAAGAGAGTAAGAATGACAAGGAGAAATTAATACGCACTCTTAATTCAAAACTATTAGTTGATTCAAAATTCGACCCACACAAAAAATTTATGGCTTAAAGACATCTTTGTGGGCCATAATGCACTCATTTCATTATTATCCCAATATCCCAGTTGTGAACACATACATCTCATTCAAAGATGCATTTCAATTTTCAATAAAGCATTTCCAAGAGTCCCACCACCATAAAAACATGTCCCAAGCTAAAGAAACATGAACTACACTTTGCTAAAGAAAAAGATAAATCACACTAAAAAGCAAAAAGCGAAACCTAAAGAAGACTATGACAATAAAATACGCCATCTCAGTGATACCTGCAACAGTTTTCAAGTTCTGCATCAGAAGTCAGTCCCAGTCAGGTCAAACTAAATAACAAAACAAGTATTATTATTTGGTTTGCAAAGTTTGTAATCTTCTATAATAACTTTTCAATGAAGAATTTAAGTTTGTAATATCTCAAATCTGTTAGGCCGGTTCACCCTGAACCGGCCAAGCTGGCCCAAGGACCGGCTTAGTTTTTTTATAGAAGGCGGAAATAGTCCGCCTCCCTTGGGTTTGCCCGCCCATAGTGAGGGCCCCACTTGTCCAATTGAATTCAAATTGAAAAGGAGGGGGCGGCTAGGGCTTGGGAGGGAAATTAGATTAGGAAAGTTTTTGTATTAAAGAGCATGAGAGGATTAGGAAGGTATTATGTTTTGATTTGTTCTCAATTAGGGCTTTCTTGGTGGCTTGGGCTCTAGCTCTCTTGTCTAGAGATTTGGGAGAAACGATCCTCCTCTCGAATTGAGGATCTCTTGTATCTTTGCTTTGTTCTTGTTTCGCTTTGCTTTCTATAAGATTATTTATCGTTTGATTGTTTTTCCACCATATTTTCTTCGTTTTTCTTGCTGTTTTACCGATTATTGTTAGGTTTGCTTGCGAACTCAAGTATTTCCCATTAGGGTTACTTGCGAACTCAAATATTTACTATCAAAATCAAGTAAAAATCCTTAGTTTTATCTCCTTAGTAGGATGAACACAGGTCGTAAACATGACAACGGACTGCTTCAGATTATTCAAACCTTTCCTACTTTTTTTCAAAATAAATGTGTTAGGGTGATTTGCAACATGAAAGTGGTATATCCGTTTTTTCAATAAGTTTGGTTCACGGTTTTCATCCTGCTTTCTAGAAATTCTGTGATGTAGAGGTGCTGGTAAACTGCTTTCCGCTTGACATGTGTTAACATATATGCCTGAATTACTAAAGTTGTAAAACTTTGCAACCATTTTTCAATTTTAGATGCTCATATTTCCTGCGCCTTCTCTCACTCTAGGCAAACATATCCCCAGCAAAACACCAGTAATCCCCCTAACGAACTGAAGCTCCAACGGAGAAGCTCTGGTGATCCCCTGCACCTCGCAAATCAAAGCTCCAAGGCCGGACTACTTTTCTCAAATCAAAACTCCTACGAGCTGCTCCCTCTCACAATTCTAATATATAGACGGATTTATCTCAACAGCCATTATTTTTTTCATGAAATCTTTCTGGATGCACAAATGTTTAGTTTCCATAATGCACTATTTTTGTTTCTTTTAAATCTACTTATCATGTACAAAATAATTTTTTGTAATTTACCATATGATAAGTTTAAAATTATTAAAATACTGTAGTAGACTTGGATCTAATAATCAAGTATTGGATGTTGTATCACTTTTATAAAATTTTATGGCATTTAAATAAAAATACCGGCGTTTCAATCATTTAGGGCATCTCCAACCGAAAAACCCATTTTCCACTCCAAAATGCTGTAAAACTTCAAAATGCAGTCATTTTTCTCAAATCGACGCCATTTCTTCTTCTTTCGTGCGCTTCTTGCGAAGGTAACCATCTTTGGTGCATTTTTCTCCTCTTTCGCACGCCTCTTTGGCAAATGCCACAACAATTTTTTTTTGGCGTAGGCGAACAGTTTGACGCAGATATTAGCATTGCACTGTTCACCTATCATAATTTGGCGTGCATTTTGGAGTTCGAATGGAGCAAATGGCGGACGGTGGTATGGAGTTCGGTTGGACATGATCTTAGCTAACAAAAACAATAACACAGGAGTGATCCAAGCAACAATATTTTTTTTTCCTATATAAACAACACCAAAACAACTAGATTTATAAACATCTGGAACAATTTCACTAGCAGCTGCTTCCAAACTCAGCTTTCCTCACAGCTGGCATTATAGACAGCAGCAATCACCAAAATAAAATCCTTAGCTTAAAATTAAGAAGAGAAATGACAATGCAAAGGTAATATGATTAAAATTTGTATATATAAAAAAAAACTTATGCTGATTAAATCTAAACTATTGTGTAAAGCTCAGCATGAATAATTAGAGGAGGATTCATAAGGAGATCCTAAATAGTTGGCTTAAGATTAATAACAATGATCATGACAACAATTTACCTCTTAAAAATTTAAACTATACATAACTATATATCATGCTACTCAGCTCATTTTGTCAGTTGCAGAATTTTATAGGAGCAAAGAAAAATTTCAGCACAATTACTTTTCTTTAACCAGACATAATAGGAACCAAATCACCATTCTGCACAGGATAACAAATAAACAAAGCTCCAACAACACATCTTAAATAAATAAGATCTTTAAAACTTTATAGACAGCAGTAGTAACCAGGAACATAAAAAATCCAATTCCAGCATCATAGCTCCCAAATCATCAATCCCTCCAAACAACATATACATAAATATACTTCCAGGATTGACAACATATCCATCCACCAAATATTCAAACTTCTAAGAACGTCCAGAGAAATAAAAAGGAGAAATAAATGGATCGTGGGGGAAAATCCTACATACCAGAGCCGCGGCTTCCTTATTTCCTCCCCCACGTCTAAAAATAATATCCATATTCACGAAAATAACAGCAATCCATCAAGAGACATAGCTTACAGCTTGAGGGATTCAGATTCATCGAGAAAGCCCGTCTTCCGAAATACGGCGTTCCGCACCCGTCGGAGATCCCTTCCCTTCAGGGTTCTCCCCACTCCCTCGAACACAGAGAACGACGTCGCGTGCGATCTCTTCACAATCAAGTGCGGCGGTAGCATCTCATCATCCGCCTCGCCTTCCTCGTCATCGTCATCCACCTCAATCAACGCTCCAACAGGTTTCCTCATCCCACTCGGCCACGTCGGCACATTCACCGGCGCCGACTGATGGAATATCGTACTTGTCTCCTCCGCCTCCGGTCTCCCCGCTGGCACTTTGATTGCCGGTCGCCGTTTGTACACCGGTTGCTCACCTTCCTCCGCTAGGGCAGCCGAGAGCCCAAATCTCCCCGGCTGGAAAGAGCGGCGCCGGATGCTGGAGTCGCTGTCGCCGGAACCTGGCCGGTTGGAGATTGGCCAGTTTCCACCGCCGGATGAAGGATCAGATTTAACGTCCGGTGCCCAAACAACGTCGCATTCATCGAGATCGAAGTGGTTGTCAGGAGTCGGAGAAGAATTTGAGTGGTCGGCGAAGCGGAGAAAGCGGAACGAAGAGGAGAAGGGAGAGGTGTTTTTGTGGATGGAGGAGGAAGGTGATCTTATCGTTGTGGTACCGTCCTCCGCCATGGCCAGTCGCTTCTTGCCTTCTTTCCCCCCATTTTCTGCCCGCGGCTTCATAATATAACCAGTTGACGGTGTAGTTTAGCTTATGTCATTCCTTGGGCTCAGTATAACGCCTTAAGAATCTACGGGCTACTGCATCTGAGCCGATCTCGTCGGGCGGCCAAGGATTCCTCGGACGGTCAGAGCCGTTGGTGTCAACGATGCAACTCCAAACAGCGCAAACAGCGTGCGGTTAAAAGAAGATAAATCATAAGCTTCCCACAAAAAAAAAAAATTAAAAAAATTATATATATATATATCCATTCATATTAGAGTGGGCAAAATTTTGATATATAAAAGAGATAATTTTGTAATTTTGCCCCCTCAAAAATAAAATTTTGCTCAAATATGACAGATCTCGTGACGTTTGTCCATTCATCCAAAGTTCCAGACATTTCCTCTTCGCGAATAAATGATAAGAATTTCCTCTTATAAATTTGATTGCATTATGTTGGTTACATTTTTTTAAAAATTATTATTATTATTGTCGTCGTCTAATTAATTAAAATTTTGTCTACCCTAAAAAAAGAAACTAGTTTCGCCTTTTTTTTATTTATTTAGCTATATGAAAAAAGAAAACTAGTTCCACCCCTTTCTAGCACAAAACTAGTTCCGCCCCTTATTTAGCTATATGAAAAAAGAAAATCAAATAAAATAGAACATAGTCACATAGAGTAACAAATATATAGATGATTTTTCATTTGGCTAATTTTTTAACACCTTAAAATTTTCTATATTGCCAAGAAAGTCTTTATATGCCGCCACCAGCTGCAGTCACTGCAAACCGCCACCATTGGCTACTGTCAGTCCGTCACCTTTGTTGTCAGCAAACATCATCATTGAGCTTTGCATCATATTCATTTTATTTCAAAACAAAAAATGTCTGTATTTATGTTATGATTATCAAAATAAAGTCAAATATTTTAAATGCTTTCTATATTTGAGGTGGCAATGTAGAAAATTTATAAGGAGTTAAAAATCCATCAAATTTAATGATTTTCAAATACTCCAATGGAAGACTAAGCACCAATATTATCAAAACACTTGCATTTGAAATATTTTACTCTTTTACTTCATACCAAATAAAACCATAGTCACTAAACATATATATAAAGATTTATAAATACCACAAAATAATATAAGAGTTAGTTTTATAAATAAATAAATTTTAATGTTATCTATGTAATTTTTCAAAAAATATGAATATTCTTAGATAAAAAAAATATGTGAAAAAAAAAATTAGTGCCCTCTGATAATTATGTACTGCATTTACATTTTTTATGCTAAATAAGAATGTTACTGCATCATTGTTGTTTTTGGATTACTCTCTAAATAAATAAATTATTTTGTAATATTGCACTATATGGTTTCATTTGTGACCGTTTTTGAATACCGTTTTTTCATAGCTTTTAAAAGATTTTTGTGCTAGAAAGCTGTTGCAAAGAAAGTTTAAGGTTTCGTTTGGGACGGCTTTTTTACTGCTTTCTAAAACGGAGTTTTAGTACAAAATTTTTTATTTCTGTACTGCAATAAAAAAGCCGTCCCAAACGAAGCCTAAATCTCTATAATAGAAGAGTTGAATCTATAAATGGTTGGGCAATAGCCCAACTATTCATACCTTGAATTCAAAAAGTCTCCACATTAATGAAGTTTTGGCTCATTACATCAATTTGGAAGATACCTAAAGTGTTTCAACATGATAAAACTAAGTGGTTTATCAAAGGGGAAGGTGATTTGAAATTTTTATGTGTCATGATTAAAAGCATGGAGAGTCTTAGGCTTCGTTTGAGACGGTTGTTTTATTACTTCTTAAAGCAATTTTTTTGTACAAAATTTGCTTTAAGAAGCAGGAAAAAAGCCATCTCAAACGTTGGGATGGCTTTCATACTACTTCTTAAAGTAATTTCTATTAAAAAAATTAAAAATGTTGTACTAGAAAGCTATTTTAAGAAGCAGAACGGTTTTCTTACTGCTTCTTTAAATGACTTTTTAGTACAATAATTAAAATTTTTGTACTAAAAAATCGCATTAAGAAGCTGAATGAACGCGGGACGAAACCTAATCAAATTAGAGAAATTCACACAGCCAATTGAACCAAAACTTCTACTTCTATGCTTTGAATATTTTAGTTATTACAATCAATTATTTATATAGTTTATAGTGTTTCAATCACTTACAAACTGAACTCTTTATGTTATATTGGTCTGATCCTACCCCTAAATCTTTATGACTTATCACTTGGTTCAAGAATACTTTTCTTCTTTGGGGGATTTTAAATAAATAAAATTCTTATCTTTTTAATTTGCAGATTTTTTTGTCGGAAAATATGAATAAATGAAATTCCAACCCTAAAGTCATCGCATTTTGCGAACGAAAATTTTATAGATATATTCTTGGGAAAATTTTATTTAAAACATATATATATTTTTGTAGTTTAGATGAATCTTCAATAACTCACCATGATTAATATCGATTGTAACTTTTTCATCGAAAATAATATCATTTTGTGACAAAAATTTGTATATGTTATGGGCTATTTTCTTATAGTGAATATTTTCAATTGGAGAAAGTACCACCACCATTTAATTGACAATATTATAAAAGATGCTTTTCTTGATAGAAGTAGAAAGAAACTTGAGTCAAAGTCATTCCCATCAGTTGGAGATAGATGATTTACTCGGCCGTTCTCTACATATGTTGGGAGTTTTTTAACGATCAAGAGAATTTGACAGTAATCTTATTTGTTATAACGAGTGTCAGGATTGTCCATAATATGAGTGTCAAACTTGGTGGTAGTGGAGCTATACAAATTGATCACAGCTATATATGTATGTGACAGTCTTATCGGTAGCGAAGAGAATTATAATTGGTGTCAACAATGACAATTAAACAACATTGTTAGATATATCAAGCATTAACATTAGTATCAAATGAGTGTGGACGGTGTTAGCAACTTTGTGTGTTTATGCTGGTGTCTATAGCAGGTATCGACCTTATTGAAGATAAGTAGAACAACATTATGGAAGAAGACATACATCAACATATTGCAATGACGACAGTGTGTCAATATTAGTGGTCTTAGCAATTGCCTATCTTGATGTCGATAATATGAACTGAAGATATGTCCACTAAAGCTTTAGGATATGGATTATTATGTGCAGTGTCCGAACGCGTGCGGAGTCCAATTTGGACGCGCCACGTAATCCAATGCATTATGCATTGGGTCACGGGTCACATCTGAATTGGCCTTCAAACGTGTTCTAACACCGCAATTAATAATTTTTCTTAGGATAGAGTCTTCAACACTATATCAATAAGAATTAAATCTCATCCATTTCAATCATTCAAAATTTTCTTGAATTAGCTTTTAAGGAAATCGAATCATTTTCAAATAAATGGAATATAAGTGAAATAATGTGAAGCGGATGGGAAGCAAGCTGTCACGTGACTGAAAGATACTCAACATATATATCCGCCCAGTTTTTTATGTGGGGCCCGCCAACTCAGCTTCCCTTTTGCTATTCCGAGCATTGAAATGAAATTATTGGCCCGTTTCCGCTTCCTATGGATTCCCCCATTTCCTCCTATTGCTGAACCAAATTAATTGCATCTCATTTTGCCTGCTCACAATGGTGTTTTATACTAAAATGATTAGCGAGCTTTTGATATATATATATATAAATTATTTTGTATAGAGTCTAGATAGATCTTTCATGTCTGCACTCCGCACGGAACAATTTCTCTTATTAATGGGATTATAAGTAGAGTTTATTGAACTCGGAGTTTATGTTCGAGCATGTAATCCAGCTCATATATTATACGAACTCGAGCTTAGCTCAACTTCGCTCACCTTGTAAGCACGTTGAACCGCTCAATTAACCTAAAATATAATTAAAAATTAATTTAAATTAATATTTTTTTGCGTCCTGGAGTATTTGCGGCGGTAGAGAAATATATAGTTTAACATCTTAGCATTGTACGAAGATCCAACACACAAGCATATTAGATAGAGTGTGTAGCATTCATAAGAGACACCATAGTTTTTACGTGGAAACCCCTGAAAAAGGAGAAAAACCACGGGTTCTGGCCCAGTTTGAATGAATCCACTAGTATTTGCAGTTGATTACAAATGAGGCCCTTCCTAGGGAGAAGGCCTTAGCTTGATGTTATAAATATACGTCATATAGAGCGCATTACATTGTGGGAGTTACAATAATCAACATAGACATGTTTATTTGGTTGAAAGTGCCATAGTCAGCATGAGACAGGGGTCCAAAAGATCGTTGTTGGTAGGAGACCAGGGTTAGAAAGACCGTTGTCAGGTGATAGAGGTCGAAAGGACCATAATCGGTAGGAGATAGGGGTCCGAAAGATCGTAGTATGCAAGAGATCGAGGTTAGAAAAATCGTTGTCTGGTGATGGAGGTCGGAAAGACCATAGTCGGCAGGAGACATGAGTCTGAAAGACCATAGTAGAAGGGTAGTACTCTGGGAGAAATCTTGGCATCAAATGGTGGCCTAGCAGAAGTCCGAGTATCAAGTTGTGATATGGTAGAATTTCAGGCCTTAGGTGGTGGTCCGGCAAAAGTCCGAAACTCAGGTGGTGGTCCGGCAGAACTCTCGGGCGTTAGGTGGTGTCCTGGTGGAGCTCGGGGCCTCAAGTGGTGGTCTGGTGGAAGTCCGAGCCTCAGGTTGTTGCCTGGTGGAGCACAGGGTGTCAAGTGGTGGTCCGGCGGAAGTCCGGACCTCAAGTGGTGGTCTGGCAGAATTTCGAGCCTCAGGTGGTGGTCTGGCAGAAGTTTGAACCTCAGGTAGTGGTCCGGCATAAGTTCGAGCCTTAGGTGGTGGCCTTGTGGAGCATAGAGCCTCAAGTGGTGGTCCAGTGGAGCAACGACGTCAGGCGGTGGTCCGGATGAGGTGAGGGCCTCAAGTAGTGGTCCAGCGGAGCAACAACGTCAAGCGGTGGTCTGGCGGAGCAACGACGTCAAGCGGTGGTCCAGCGGAGGTGAGGGATTCAAGCGGTGGTTCGGCGGAGGTGAGGGATTCAAGTGGTGGTCCGACGGAGCAACGACGTCAGGCGGTGATCCGACGGAGGTCTGGCGGAGCAATGACTTCAGACGGTGGTCTGACAAAGGTAAGGGCCTCAAGTGGTGGTCTGGCAGAGCAATGACGTTAGGCGGTGGTCCGACGGAGGTGATGGCCTCAAGTGGTGGTTCGACGGAGCAACGACGTCATGTGGTGGTCTGGCGGAAGTCCGTTGATGGTCGAGGAGCGAGGAGGCAAGAACTATATCTGGTTTCTCTCTTTCTCTCTTACTTGGAGCCTCCCAGGGGTCTATTTATATATTTTCGGAGTGGCATGGCCCATAAATATGTGAGAGATCAAGAGCAAATGGTGAGTGGTTGGATGGACGGCTGGTGATGAATCCCTTGATCAAGGACCGTTTGATGTACATTTGAATGCATTAGTAATGTTGGAATTTGGTGATCTTGGGTTCATTGGATTTGTCTCGTCGATCCTCTCAATTATATTATAAGAATGTCATATTTGGAAACCGTATGGCAATCCGAATTTTGGTTCGAACCCCCAAACAATGCTTTGGACCATTGATTTGGGCTCAGATTGAGTCGAATTTTTGGGTTCGTATTTCTGAGATGTTTAGTTCGACTATAAGTTTGATGAAATCAGAGTTCGGATGGTCCCAATTTTAATTTTGGAAGTTTCCAACTTGATTTTGCCTCGAGATTCGTGCCCGATCAAGATAATTTTTTGATGACATATCAGTATTACTTAATGAATTTTGGTCTTTTAAAATTATTGTTATATACTCTTATTATTTAATTGGTATATTAAAAATAATTTTTTAAAAAAACCTAAAAATACTTGGTTAGAAAATATTAGGAATGACCTTTCTTTATTAGATTTAAACGAGAATTTGGCTTTTAATAGGACACAATGGAGAAAAAGGATTCATGTAGCCGACCCCACGTAGTGGGATAAAGGCTTGATGTTGTTGTTGCTTTATAAAAAAAGATGATGTAATAAGTGACATTTCTAATACTAAATTAAAAAAAAAGTTAAGTTCATAGGTGAAAAGATTCATTTGTGAAGACTTTCTTTCTGTTTGTTAAAGCGATTTCTTAGTAAAAAAATCTGCTTTAAGAAGCGGGAAGAAAGCTGTCACAAATGAAGCCAAAGATGACTATGGGCTTCTAATAAGGACTGATAGTGTGTGATTCGGTTCAAGGATAGTGCGAGGGAGGTTCGACGACAGTGTATAATTGAGTTCAAGGATAGTGCGAGTGAGATTTAACTTCCATAACGATGGACTTGGGATGAAATGAGAAAGATATGTGGCAAAAGAACTCGAGTTATTGGTGTTGAGACTAGTGTTTGAGACTTCGGAGAGACGCAATTGTGCCAGCATGTTCAAGAACAAGAGTGGCACGACAATGTGATTCACAAGAAAGAAGTTTCATCCTACCTTGTTGTATAATGAACTCGTTCGATTTAGGCAAATTCGAAACATACTTAGAAAGTCCCAAATTCTTCAAATTTTATGTTATATATACTTTACTCTCAATCATTCACTTAAATGTTTAAAATCTATACATTTCAAATATCATACATTTAAGAAAAAAAAAACTCTCAATTAAAAAATTCAAATGTATTTCACTGTGTTTAAACAGAATTGTAATTCTTTTTCTTTAATCTTTTTAATGCTAAGAAATTATATTCCTAAAAGACTGAAATGATAGCTTCGCGACGGTCCAATTATGGTGATAGCCAATTGATGTGATTTGTCTCTCTTCCACTTGGCCTTTTTCGAAGCAGAAATCATAGTTCTTCATGGAAACTTTTTGAGTGAGGCTTCAGAAAGCATCATAAAAAATTGACTAATCTTCTTTATTTTGTTGACTTTCGTGCATTACAGCAACAAAAATAACTCCAAAGATTCAATAATTAATTTTTTTATTCAAAAAATTAAAACAACAAACTTAATTTGTTCTAGCAAGATTTATTTAGGGGCTCTTTGGTTGGGTAAAAGTTAATGCAATGCATTTTACATATTTTATTTTTGAACTTTTTGGTGTTTGGTTGGACATAGAAGTAAAGTAAACTAAATTTGCAGTGTATTTAGAACTCCCACCTTAGTTCATGTTCCACGGAAAGTAAACATGCTCGAATCGAGCGAGAAGGGAATTCACGTGGAAGTAGCTTCTTTGGCTCTTTTGTTTTCACTCGACATCCCTGCTTCAAAGGTGTATGTTTGCGTAAAATGGCTTCCCGTTCATCTCTCTCGTGCATCCCATGTCTCCCACTCAACCTGCAGGAATGCACGCCCAACCACCTGCCCTATTACGCTCTTCTGAGACTCCTGGGAGACCTACTCACTTGCACGTGTGACATTGGACACTCGACAACATGTTCTCATCAATCTTCCATTCGACTTCCCACATTCAAATGAGAGTTTGAAACCTAAATCTGATCCCGCATTGTCTAACTCCGGCTCCCAAGCCCGCACTGTCGGGCTCAACCCCGTGCAAACAGCTTTCTCTCGACCCTCGCACACGATCAGATCCGCCGAGCCACAAAGACCATGCCTCAGTCCAATCTCTCACATTAGCCTTCTAATCTTCTGACCATGGCCAAAACCTATAGCGAGATTTACTGTTGTCTTAAAAATTTTTTAGGCTTCGTTCGAGATGATTTTCTTACTGCTTCCTAAAGCAATTTTATGAGAGTTTGAAAACTAAATTTGATCCCGCATTGTCTAACTCCGACTCCCAAGCCCGCATTGTCGGGCTCAACCCCGTGCAAACAGCTTTCTCTCGACCCTCGCGCACGATTGGATCTACCGAGACACAAAGACCCATGCCTCCATCCGATCTCTCACATTAGCCTTCTGATCTTTTGACCCTGGCCAAAACCTATAGCGAGATTTACTATTGTCTTAAAAATTTTTTAGGCTTCGTTTGGGATGACTTTCTTACTCTTCTTAAAGCAATTTTTTTAGTATAATCAGCACTTGTCATAATCTCTTTTTCCAAGCTCCCAACAATACAAAATAAAAAAAGGAGAAAGCGATCAATTGTCACTGCGGTTGCCCACCACAAACTAACTCCTGAAATAATTTTTCTCCCCTCTTTTAAAAAAAAAAAACTAAGATGGGTAGAATCTGGACGGTGAAAGGCATCGCAAGGAACAGAAGAAAAGCAGCAACAATGGAGTTTTATTTTGTCTTTGTCGTCCATAGATACAGTGGTCCTTTTCAACTATTGAGGGGCGCACAATGGACGGTGAAGGCATTGAAGCTTCCTCTTTACATGGATGGAGGAGCTAACACCATTCCTTTGAAGTTTCAAAAGCTTTTTTAAAATCGTTATTAAATTATTTATTTGAGTGATTATGATCTCCTACTTATCTTTTAGGATCTGTTTGAGGGCGGCTGCTGTTGCTTTTAGAGTAGTTTGTTGAACTATTATGATAAAGTGTACGTAGTTTAAAGGTTGTTATATATATATTATAACTATTTTTAGGGTTAAATAATACTTATTTCACTGTAAATGTCTTTTATCATAAAACTTCTCATTTTTTTTAAATAAAGGCCAAATAAATTTGTACGTAAAACTGTGGAAACAATTAGAAATAAGAGAGAGAGAGATTTGAGAGATATTAGGGTTGCTCTCATCCCTTTTAAATTTGAAATATATATATATATATATATATATATATATATTGATGCAATCATGTCAAACATATAAATTTTACTTTCCCATTCATGTATAAATAAATAAAATTTAGCTTCTAGGAGAAGCTCTTTAGCTTCTAGAAGTTTTAATTGAGACAGCTCACATGCAAGCCAAGACAAGCAAAAGCGAAATAAAATTTGCTTGAGGATTGTTTGATTGAGATTACTTTTCGGATATAGTTTTCTTTTTCTTATTATTTTAAGATGCAGTTTTTTAATACAAAATTTTTTAAATTTGAAATTTTTATACTTAAAAGCTTCATAAAATAGTACGAAAGCTACTTTCTAATAATTTTACTAAAAAGCTAATTTAGAAAAAATTAAGAAAGCCGCCTCAAACGAAGTCTAAAGCTACCGTATTATCCTTTGCTGCATGTATATGATAAAAAGGAAAAAAAATAATTTTTTTTTATAAATATGACAATACTCCTAAAATCCGAAGAAAATTGATGATTTTACATTCACTCACATTACATGCCAAGAAAAAAAAATTATGGCTTATAAAAAAATCATAGCTTATAAAAAAATCTTGAAAGTTTGTTCTAAAGTTTCAAAATCACAACTAATTACATCCAACCAAACAATAAAATCACGAAATAAAATAATTTTCAATGCATTTTCTACTTTCAGCAAGCAAAGGAGCCCTAAGACTCCTTAACTTTCAGAAGTTCGTTTTAGAGTGTTAGAAGCTGATTTTATATAAAATAAAATATTAAATCACGAACATATAAATAAATAAAACAGAGTTGTGTAGAAGGGAACCTCAGAATGAATCAATCAGCAATTATGCCAGCAAGAACATCGCTCCTTCCTCTCGCATATATGGTGTAGACAAGGCGAATTGCATCTAGCCATCCGTCCAGAGAGTCCCACGTGTCCGCCGCCTAATACCAGAAAGAGACAAAATTATCGTACAGTAAGAACCAGAGGTAGAAAACAATATCAAAGATAGCCTACTTTTGAAAAATTACTGGGTTCGGACACCGGACATAGCTTACCGTTCGGACACCAATCAAGGGCCGACAATACCGAGCTCGGTACTGTGCATTACTGAGTTCAGTACTGCTCAGTACCATCGTACTGCTCAGTACCAAGCTCGTACTGCTCAGTGCCAAGCTCGATACTGCTCAGTACCGAGTAGGAGATGATGTGATGCATTTTCATTACGCTCTAGACGGTGTCCGGTGTCTGAACGACTGAACCCAATAATTTCCCCCCAAATAGCGCCATGAAAGTGCTACTTCGACTGATGAATTTGAGAATAACAAGGCAAGAGGATATGAGATTCCTAATTTTTTTTCATTTGCTCAGAGCAGAATACAAAATAAACAATGGAATGTCTAATCAGAAGCGTCGTTCTCGAGATAGAGATCGAATGCAGACAAGTGAGCTTGGTACACTGCACCGATGATAATTAATAAGACAAATACCATCCATCACTGTAACAAAAGAAAAATAGCATTAGAACTGCTAATGTTATTTTTTGGCTTTCGTGATCTTGACACCTCTTATCATGCTTAGACGAAATTCAAAAAGCAGGTTATTTTCCTAGCAGCATCACATGGTTGAGAGGGCTTTTGATATATACATACCATTAGATGGTGTTGAAAAGTTTTCAATTAAGAGATCTTTATGTGAAAGGAATTGATGATTGATATGGAGAATTCCCATATGGGAGAAAGATTATTAACTCTTTAGGCACATGTGAGTATTGATTAATTGATAAGACATACTTGAGTTTGCAGGTAAACCTAAGGGTAATACTTGAGTTCACAATCAAAACTATCACCAATTGGTGAAAAACAGCGAGAATAATGCGAACTCGGGGTGAAAACAGCCCCAAAATAATAAATTGTGGTAGGAAAATCAAAGCCAAATAATGAAAACAAGATACAAGAGATCCTCAATTCGAGAGGAGGATCGTCTCCCCCAAATCTCTAGACAAGAGAGTCTAGAGACCAAATCGCCAAAGAATCCTAATTGAGAACAAATCAAAACATAATCCCTCCCTAAAAATCTCATGCTCTTTAATACAAAAAATTTCGTAATCTAATTTCCCTCCAAAGCCCTAGCCGCCCCCTCCTTTTCAATTTGAATTCAATTGGACTAATGGGGCCTACCATGTGGGCGGGAAGGAGAAAGGGAGGCAGAAAACTTCTTGCTGGGCCGGTTCAACCAGGCCGGCTGGGCCATTTAGGGCCGACTGGGCTAGTTCAGGGTGAACCGGCCTAACATTAATCTCAAATTGAATAGTTAAAATATATATTATTCTTGAAATACCAAGCAAGTAATCTTCACGTAAAAGTTCAAAATTTTTGAGATAAAAATAAGTTTAAAACTTATGTATTTGTTCAAATTTTAATTCCCTATTGGTAAGGAAATAACAAGCCCATTAAAACTTTGTGTGGGATATTTACTTTATATATCAGCAAACTGGAATAAAAGCATTCCACATTTAAGAGTTCTTACCAAGTAAACAGGCCCTTGAACGGTGTCTATACAAAGTCCTGCGCCAGGGGGTAGCGTCAGGTCCGCACAAGCTGACACACACAGAATGTCTGGGATATCAACTTTAATTAGCGATTTATCACCATGCCCGGATCCTTGAAAACTGCCATAAGAACTTTGTTCTGATTCCTGGCCATATTTACTGACCTGAAAACCATTTGTCTAAAAGTTATATTCATGAAAAGGATAACACGAAATAGTACTTGAAAGTAGTTATCCAATAAGAATTTAAAAACGTTCGCAAAAAGAGCAATTAGAGAATCCATGGAACATTAATATGATCAGAAAGATTCATAGTCTATCCTTAGTGGAAAATAAACTTTATGACCAAGTATTGATTTGACTAAGGCTTCATTTGGGACAACTTTCCTACTGCTTTTTAAAATAACTTTTTAGTACAAAAATTTTTATTTTGCACTTAAAAGCTGTTTTAAAGAAGCAAGAAGAAAGCCGTCCCAAACGAAGCCTAAGTCAGGTTCATGACACATTACTATTAAGAACCAAGAAACTAAGAGAAACACAAACAAGGGGTATCCGGAATCTTCTTCAATTAGCTTGGTATGACATGTTGAAATTACCCATTATCCTTATATAGGAAGTCCTGGAGTATAGGTTTCTAATGAAGATCTATTATGAAATAGACAAAATCATATGGGTCACGAAATCTTAATTTTAACAACTAATTGTTACTTTCAAGGAAATGGAAAATATGACGAAAATCATTGCAAATGATAATTCAGTCGTTTCCTATCAGAAACAAAAATATAAATTTGGGACAAAGAAAGAAATGCAGTGAGTTGAAATTAATTTACTGATTCAAATTTAGGATTGTACCAAGTTTATACAAAATTAATCACGCAAACAAATCTAACAAAATTTAGATCAATGAATAATAATAAAAGGAAACAATTCACTAAAAAATAATATTCTCAAGCCTCATGCTAGTAAGGAAAAGAAATGTCTCCCAAAAACATTAAAATATCCCATGTGATGACAGAGTTAGCACCCTAAAGTAGAAGGAAAGGAGCATCCGACTATAATTTCATTCAGAACAAAATGCATTCTCTGACAAAAGCCAGAAACCCTTATACATATAATAAATTGTAACCTAAAAATTTCTCATTAAAAACAAAAAAATAGGCTATCAATAAATAAAAATAATAAAAAAGAGCAAATCTCATGCACAAAAATCCTACAAAAAGATATTGATCCAACAATACTTGCCAAAATCTCACAATTAAAAGAGCCAAGTTTTAAAAAAAGTTATCATACCTAATTAAATTAGCTTAAACATGCTTTACGTTTATTAAGTAGGACAAGTCAAGATGTGAAGTGAACATGGTTTGTCATATGCCTATTGGGAATGATTTTGTTGCAATTTACGTTGATGATAATGAAGTAGTGAAGTTGTGTAGAAATTCTTATTTGTACGTTGAAGTTGACACATGAACGTCGAAATGAGCAATGTCGATAATCTAAACGTTCATATTATGAACACCTATAACTTAGATCATGTGCAAATGCAAATGACAGATGCCGTTGAATCTACACAGTAAGTTTTTTAATAACTTTAATTCTAGTCGTCCTACCATTGATATGTAGCATGTCATAATTATTTTGTTGAATTATCGTTTGATCGATAGGTTCATCAACAATCAAGTGGATCAAAATATGGTAGCACTACCAATGCAATTATCTCGTCAAAACATGCATGATACAGAAAGGTTATGGGGGTGTCATGCATACGCTTGATGAAGGATATGAGATAATGAACAATGGTTATGGTGAGCAATCTAATGACAATATAGATGACTCAGAATCCAATTCAGGTGACCATGATTCAGTAGAGCATGGGGACGTGCAAAATCTTCTCACAGATGAAATGAGGAATGGGTGAGGGAAATGCCAGCTAGGAATATCATCATGATGACTCAGAGGAAGGATGCACTTCATTCACCACTCTAGTTGCTAATGCAGGCCCATCAGATATGAGTTCTAGTCCATCATCTCATGTTGATCTGGGACCTTCACAGGAGTTCTCAAGTCAACCTGCGCAGCATCCACGTATCATGAGCCAATACCACCAATGGCCTACGTATGAGTTACATTGGGGTTCAAGTGATATTGGTACAACTTCCCATTACTATATCCTGTCGCCCGCATGGATGACTCCATCTTCTATTCCATCCACTGAACACCTAACACCTCAAGGCCACCAGGAGATGCACAAGTCAAGTCCGAAGAGCATCAAGCACAACGAGATAGGCCTGTTCAATCTCCCCACCAATACACACCAAGCACAAATGCCATACCACGCAGGCCATGATGCAGACGCTAGGTTGTACTTTTTATAATTTTATTTCTCCTATGAATGGTTCTATGTAATTCAGTTTTTGATGCAATGGAAAACATAAAACCTCTAATTTACATTGTAATAATATTTATATTTTTTCATGTGTTAGTAAATCTCATTTATTATTGCATATGTAATTCAGTCTTTGATGCAATAGAAAACTTAAAACCTCTAATTTACAACTTAATAATATTTATTTTATCTTAACAAACATAATTATTCATAAATTATTTTAAATATAATATTTTACTTAGGTTATTCCAAGGCCAAAATTTATGGTTAACTTAAGTTAAATATTTTTTATCTATAAATTAATTTCTAAATAATATAAATATCAATATATTATTCTAACAAATTTAATTACTAATAAGTTTATAAGCTTTATATATATATCACAACTATGTAAAGTTAGGGGTGTAAAATGGGTTTTTAAGTCGATCAACCCAACCCAATACAATGATCCGATTGGGCGAGGCAAGCGCTACAAGAGGCAATCCGCAAGAATGAGGCGAGCAGATGTGGCCGGAATAGCGCGAGCTGGTGCATCTGTGCAGGCGAGTGCGACAGTGCGAGCGCAAATGCAATGGGCTGTGAGCGTGACGGAGCAGGCGAAGGGCGATCACGAGGCTAGCTGAGCACGATCCAGACCCAGGCTAGTTCCGTGTTAATTTTGGATTTTTGGGTTGAATGAGAATTTGACTTCTAACAGGATACAATGGCGAAAAAGGATTTGTGTAGCCGACCCCACGTAATGGGACAAGGGCTTGATGTTGTTGTTGTTGGGTTGACTAATACCCATCCCGAAATTGAAAACGGGTCAGAATACAAAACCTAAACCCGACCATTTTTCAAATGGGTTAACCCGAACTCGAAATTTTTGGATCAGGTTTCAGTCATGTCAAATGTTGACATGGGCAACGACTGCCTTTTTTTTACATATAACAATAAGTGCATATGATAATAAGTGCATGCATATAACAATATATATATATATATATATAGTCGCTGAAATCGAAAGCTACTGATTTTGGCATAAGCAAGTCGTTGAGGTCGGTAGCGACTGCTTTTTCCTTTGTCAGGTGGATGTCACATCAGAAATCAGTCACTAGCTTGGCATGTTTTATTTTTTTTTCATATTTGATTTAATAATAAAACTTTTAAACGTCATTAGTTATAAAATTTGTTCCTTCAACTCACCATCTACGAGTTCTTGATTGATATAGTAAATGACATTTTCTTTTCCATTATTATTTTAAGCTCCATAAGCTCCTCTAAGAAAATTGCATATAAGATTAGCGACTTTCGAAGAACTAGTTCCATAAAGTTAAGGAGTATAATAAATATTGTCAATATTTATGTTGATAACGGCTTCTTAACAAGCATTGTCCTTTATAAAAATGGTGTCCTTAACATATACCTAACCGAGAGTTGACACCTATATGAGAACTTAAAAATGAGTTTTCTTGTATATGTCAACCTACCTTGGAGAGAAAAAGAATTGCTTTATTTTTAAAAGGATCAATTTAGATGCATTTATGTCATACAATAAAGATAATTTTTCAGATGAAACACCAAAAGTATATTTCAAATGCTTCATTTTAAGATTAATTTTTCGAATCTTCCAAATGCAATCCTAAGATCATTTGTAAACTTATGGCATTTATACTTTACAACCAAAAATTGACATAACGCTCTAAAAAAAAAATGTTCCACATTTGCATATGGGGTTGTCAAAGATGTCGATAATAGCCCTTAAATAGGTGGTTGTAGTATTTTTCAAGCCAAAAGGCGTCATCTTGTAGCAGTTAAAATAGATGCGAGTATGAAAGGATGTATATTTCTCGCATTTCGCACAATATTGATTTGGTCGTGGCCTGACGACTTGCCTATGAATGAAAACACATCATGGTTTGAGGTATTGTCAAGTATGAAATGGGTCTAACCATTCTTCTTCTTATTTGGGACAATATTTGTAATCCAATCAATAACTTTTTCCTCCGAAATGAGACCATTTAGCGATCACTTATCCATCAATCTCAACTCATTCGCCAAGTAGCCTACTTCTGGTACTCTGGGATTGATAGAAAGCTTGCGAACTACTACATCATAAGACGTGACATGCATTTCAATGTAGTTCCAAGCAAAGCAATCTTTACAATTGAGTAATATTTCTAATTATTATCTATTCTTATGAGAAATAAGAGCACTGATGAATGTTGAGCAAGGGTCTTCTATGCCTATATTGATTTCTAGAACCTTGCTCGCTATCTTCAAGCTTTTTAAAAGCCTCTTTTAGATCAATGATCAAATCTTCATGTTGATCCTTAGATTTAGGCGTGCCAACTAAATAGGCTTTATGGCATGGCATGTGCCTCCCAACAGACTAGAAGATTGAGGATATTCAAGATCCAAGAAGTGAATTTCCAATGCTCTACAAGCGTGCGAGATGTGCTCTCATTTCTAAAGCTTTTTGAAACGAGCTTGTTCATCCATTTGCTCAAGAGCTCTCTTTTTAATAAGACTAATTAAAGAAGGTAAAAGAATAGATGGATCATTATTGGTGTCATTTCTATTGGGTTTTCATGACCACATATTGTTCAAAATTACGCAATCATAGAAGTGACTTAAGGCCCATCTTAGTGCCATTTTGCCAAAAAGAAAAAAAAAACACCATGATGCATACTTCGCCTTGGTTTAATGAGATGTATGCTTCAGTGAGGTTGAAGCATGCCACTATGCAATTTGTAAGAGGAGTAAGGCTTAAAAACTATGATTTTGGTGATTTAAGATTTAAAATTAAAAATTTACAAATTTAATATAATAAATAGATTCTATTTTGCTATTTTTTTACACCTAAACCGAAAACAAACAAAGCCTAGGACCAAAATTGCACACACCCCCTCGACTCCTAACCACATGATGCAACCTGATGCCAAAGGCACTTGTTGCCACAACTAGGAGAGAAAGCAACTCACTACAATAATGGTTCTACTAAAAGACCTACTAAATGATGATAGTGTGGGAGATCTTTTAATTCATATATTATAATCTTAGTGATGAAGGACTACATATGAATGCAAGCAATTTATTAGAATTTTGCACAACTCTTGATTAGAGATAAAATGAAGAAATTACTAGCAATTCAAAACGACGTAATAAAACGAATAAGGGGTCACACCCGCTTAGGCAAAATCACATAACCAGAGTTTGATACTTTCAAAACGAAATAGAAAACAACATGATGCCCAAGTAGTAGCTTCAAATAAAATCCCTAATCTAACGACGAGAGTTAATAAGCACATAAGCATACTCAAAACCCTACGTTAACTAAGCTTAGCATGAGCAAGGACAATTGTCCTTCGTGACTAAAATCAAACACAAGAGAAAGTTAGATTTAAGAAATATAATGAAAAGGGGAAAAGAGAACCTCTCGTCAAGGAGCGGTGGAGATCCTCCACTCAACGCCTTCAAAATGCTCATTGATTGCTTCCAGAATACGCTCCCTGTTATCATCGACAGTGTGGTCGATCCTAGTATTAACGTCGAAGAAGGTTGATTGAAGAATATCAGTGAAGCCATCCTCGTCGAAGGTTAAGCCGTATTCAGTTTCTGGATCCGCCATTCATAGGGATTAATGGTTGAAGTCTTCCCACGGTAGCACGCACTCTTGACGGTTATCGAAGGGAGAAGAGGCAAGAAGTTCTCTTCAATTTGAGGTGAAGAAACAACCCCAAATCTCCTCCAAAATCTGAAAACAATTTCATTTTTTAACCCAAAATCTGAGATAAAATTTCAGGTTTCTCTATTTAGAAGATAGAGATTTTGGAGGGAGAATTAAGGTTTAGAATTCAAGTGGGGGAATTAAAGATGGGGAGGGAGTTTGAGAGAGAGGGGGAGTTCGGGTATGGAGAGGGGGGCCGGCGGCACTAAAGGGATGGGAAGGGATTTCTTTCCAAATCCTTGAATCAAGATTTGGAAAGTAATTATGAGATGAAGTTTTAAAATTTTCGGCCAAGGGGGGAGAGGAGGATTTATGGGTTTGAAATTATTTCCTTTGTGGGGAGTTGGGATTAGGAAATAATTTGAAAGGGATTTAATGAGGGAGGGCAAGGGGACCGGCGGCATGCATGGCCAAGGGTGGGCATTTAATGAGAGCAATTAAGGTTTCTTAATTTAGGTTTTGGATTTAGGAAAGATTTATTTTAAATCCAATTGAATTTAATTTTCAAATTAGATCTAAAATAAACACTTTCCTAAAATAGATGAGTTATATTAAGAAGGATTTTGAATTCAAAATTCAAAGGAATTGAAATTCAAAATTATCCTAAATTAACTCACAACCCAACTAGGAAACTCAAGAGTGCAAGGGGGCATGGGTGAGGCGGGCGGCTAGGGACCTAGGGCCGGCGGTATGGGAGGGGAAATTGTGGGTAGGGGGCGGCGGCTTATGGGAGGGGAAAATTCGTGGAGCTAGGCTAGGGGGAGTGATGGCTTGGAGGTGGAGAGTTTTGGATGCAAGGCTGATCGATAGTGGAGGTGGAAGGAAAACGACAAAAAGATAAATATGAAAACCACGAACCTGGCTGTCTCCAAGGTTGGTGGGTGATCCGCTCTCCCTCTCCTAGGGATCTCTCCAAAGTTCTCTTCAAGAACCCTCAAATGCTCCCAAAACACAAGTGCAAGAAAATCTCTTAATAATCATTCATTTACTTTGAAAATAACACATGAGGCTATAAATAGCCAAGTACATGGGACTCATGAATAATAAAAGACACAATTGCCCTCCGAGCTTACATACGACATCTCCCACTAAAAGGGTACAGCATGAAAACAAATACATGACACTGAAAATAGAAAAATACATAAATAATAAAATAACATAAATAACTCAAAAGTACAAAGACTCGATCGTGGCCGTACATCGGCGGCCACGCCTCTGATAAACCTTCCACGAATTGATGTCCCCATCACTTGGTGACTTAGATTACTTATTTATGTTGAATTGGAAGCAAGAGAAACTTATAATTCTGCTCTTGCTTTGATATCTTATTATTTTGTTACTATTTTGCTTATTATTTTATATATTTTATTAATTTAATAGTTTATGTTTTGAGTAGGCTTACGCCTCACAATGTCTGCTTATGCCTTGCCTATAACAACATCAAGCTTTTATCCCACAATGTGGGGTTGGCTACATAAATATTTTTTCTCCCTTGTGTCTTATTAAGAGTCAAATTTTCATTTAAATCTAATAAAAAAATGTCATTTCTAATATTTTCTAACCAATTGTTTTTAGGTCTACCTTTACGTTTCTTAACATTGACCAAATCTAATACATCTACTCTCCTAATCAAGTCTTTAGAAGGCCAATGTTTTATGTGACCAAACCATCTAAGACGGCTCTCTCTAATCTTATCTGCTATTGGAGCTACTCCAACCTTTTCATGTATATAATTGTTTTGCATTTTCTCTCTCTAATCTTATATGCCTTGCCTCATGAACAAAAATGTCTCAATACCAAATTGCTCACCTTCTCTATTTTAACTAGTGAATGGCATGAACTAGCTTTCCTTCTAATTTGTGGAAAATGATTCTGTTAAATCTCATCTGTTCTCTCTAAAAGAGATCCTACGGCCACGAGCCATGATCCATGGGAAGCCTGCATGAATCCCGACATAATCACTCCTAAATCCCGGTGATTTCTTTCCATAATAAGGTAGCTGATTTAGGAAGGAATATATGAGGGCAATTATGCCTGATTTTTGTAATTTAATTATTTCTTTAATTACCACTCTGTATAGATCTATAAATAGGGATAAAATTGTGTAATAAAGTATGGTCTTCCCTCTCAAATCTTTGATTTCAACATGGTATCAGAGCGCCGGAGGAATTAAAGAGGAAATGATGTAGAAACAAAGGTAAGAAGATGTGAAGCTATGGAAAATAAGTGCAACTAGATTCTGGCAACCGAAAATCCATCTTGATTGAATGTCGAGTAATCTTTGAAGTGCACTCTCTATTAAATGAATATTGCTTATTAAACTTCTCCTTAAGGGAAGGAGCTCTCAAACTTTTTTCTTGGGTTGTTCTTTTTTTTTTATTATTATTATTATTTTTTTTTATGCTTACCTATTACAAAGAAGTTTGTTGGTGCTAAATACCTGAGGTTTAAGTAACCTTTCAAAAGCTTCCAAAAGTATTTATTCAAATCTGAAGACATACATACAGAGGTATGGAGCTATTTGGATGGTAATGTTCCCCATGAGGAGCTCAACAACACGTTTCCCAGCGAGATTTATCACAGCACATGCTTAGCTTCATCCACCATGCTATATATTTAATGACGATCTCATTCCCTCTCTTCTCAAGGGATTGATATGCAATAGCTAATTTTTTGGAGGCACTAGTAAATCTTTTAACGAAAATCATCTCGAGATCTACGAAGGTTTTCACGGAGTTATTAGGTAACTCAACATACAACTCAAAAGTACAGTTTGTAAGGTTGTTGACAAACTGACATGGCAATAAAGAGACATTTCTATCAATAGTGTCACGAGTAGCTTTGATTGGACCACATGCTACTTGGAATTTGTACCCAAAAAGGAGTTGAATTTTGGTAGAACATACCCCTTAAAATATTGCCAAAAGTAGCTTTGAATTCATTCAGGTATGGTTGACTTTTGCCTGCGAGAACTTTGATAATTATATAAGCAATGATTATTTTAATCTTTTAGCTCATCAAGTCTTCAAATTGAGCTATAGTGAAGTCCCCTACTTCTATGATGAGGATCTTTGTTGCCCCTGAGAGGACATAGGTCCACTTCCTGGAGTTGTCTGGATACTCAAATTAGTAGATTGAGAGCTACTTGCTTTGACTACACTATTAATGGATCCCAAAGAATTTCCCCGATGAAATAGCTACAACTATCATTCTAAGTAGACCAAAGATCCCTTTCATCATGCTCATCATGTTGATCATTTCATCATGTTCGTCTTTTAAATGCACAGAAAAGCTTTTCTGCCAATCAAACACCTCCTAAATGCAAGCCATTGATTTAAACAGTTAACTTACTACATTAAGGCAAAAAACAAACTTTCAACATATATCTAGGATATGAAAAAGTTAAGCAGATTCTTAAGTGTATAACTCCTTGCGTATGTGTACAAATAGTATAGTTTGATTTGAATTTAATAAAGAAATACTGTGCTTCAAGGAAGAGTTTTCTACACAGATTTAAGCTAGCAGCCTGACCTGTTGGAGTCCCTCATGATTTAAAACAAACTGAGATCTTTCCCAATCTGCATGTGGTGCCATTGGATTTCTGGCAGGTGGTGCTGTCAAATGTCCCACTTTAAGGAAGGGTATCGGTATCTGCAAATATATTACTTCAGAGTTCAAAGAAATAGCTATCCTTATCATTTCAAAAAGTCGAAATATTTTTAGACCATATTACATGAATTGGTTTGATGGATTAATCAGGAACAAGCTACCTTTCATGGAAAAATGAATGGTAGGAAAATACAACTAATAAGAATATAAAGGACTGGTTAATGTAGGAAATTAAAGTTGCAATAGAAAATAAAAATGAATAGAGCTGGACTACAGGTCTCCAGTCATACATGAAAATAAGAAAGAATTGTAACAAGCACTTAATTAATGAACTCTACATTATAGGTTCTGGCATAAGTTCAAAGCTTGAAAATATCATTTTATTGAAAGTTCTCACTTCAAAAATAATGTTTTCGTTTTTTTTTTTTTTCAGTAAGTTTTGATTGTAAAGTTCCAAAAAATACAAATCAAAGGCAATCATTAGCTACAACTTTGAAACCCAACTGGATGTGCTAAATGTTTGAATGCTACAATCACTTGATTGCCGAGTGATGTGCTCAAAGTTTAGTTACTAAATGACACAGCATTCTTATTTTCTATAAGCTGTCATTCAAACAGAATGAAATTTTGTTTGTATGTACAACATAATTCAAATAAGAGAGATGATTTGAATATCAAAATACACATACTATTTTCTTGGGATTTCATTACTCTTAAGACTTTCAACTTTCTGCGGTGTTGTGTGTTGATAGATAGATTGATGTGCAGATGCGCAGATACTTTTGAGCAAATTGACTTCACAGCGATAGCTTTTATTTATGAAATTTGTATGCCAAATACTTGCTCAGAGTGCTATGGGCCCTTCGCAAACATTCTATCAAATAGGGGACGTTAGTTAAGCAGGGTAAGCCATTCTCGCCATTAGTTTTCTCTCAACAAACATGAGTTAAAGAATACATCACATCCTACGGATTCATCAGTTCGCATTGTCATCATTTCCAAGACATTCAGAATCGTAATTACAATCCACTACTGAAGGTCCAAAAACTATCAATTCATTTTGATGTTTTTTCTTTGCAGGTGGAGTAAGATAAAATCATAGCCATCCAATAATTGGCAGGTAAACTAAATAAAGTTAGTGATGAGGACATCAAGATATGGAAAAATCTACTAGAGGCGTGGTCGTCGATCAACGACCACTATTACATCACGCTACTAATGATTTTCATATTTATGATTGATGTTTTTTTTTATGAAGTTTATTATGCTTTTCCTTTTTTGCCCTTACTTAAGGGCTTAAGTATGTGTAAGCCCTAGTGGCATTATAGTACTTTTTATTTTCCCATTGTATGGGCTATTTAAAGCCCCCCTCTTCTTCTTTGAGGATCAATGAATGAATTATGAAAATTTTTCTGCACATGTGTTCTTTGAGTTGTGAGAGTTCTAGGAGAGAGCTTTGGAGGAATCCCTAGGGAGGGAAAACAGATCACCCACCAACCTTGGAGACGGCCGGGTTCGTGGTTTGTTTTATCGTTTTCTTTTGTTTCTTTCTTTCCATCTCCTTTTCCTCCTAGCCGCCGGATTCCCTCGCCAAACCCCCATCTTAAGCTGCCGGCCACTATAAACCCACCCTCACTGTCTACTAAACCCCGCTCCACTCTCCATCCGCACCTCCCTTCTTTTCCCCTCCCCCATCCACGGCCCATCCCCAAACCTCTTCTCAATTCCCTAGCAAGCAAGCCATAGACCCTTGCCTTAAATCCCTATCCCTTCCATCAAGCCGCCGGCCCCGCATAACCCTTTCTTCAAAATATTTCCTAAAGCTCCACTTTCCATATTTAACTTCACCTATCTTTGGAAGGAGTTTGAATTTTGAAATAGTTCAAATTTAAATCTCAACTCCTTCCTATTTCATTAATCATATTTTTGGAGAGGCCCTTAATTAAATCAATTAATCCAAATCTGAATTAATTGAGTAATTAATGCCTTATCTCCAAATACATTGAACCTAGACCTTTTTTTTCATCCCACCTGGTCAAATTGCCTCAGCCCCACCTATTTGCTTTCCTTCCAAAAGAAGGCTTCTTCTTTTGGAATCCTTTCAAACCTCCTTCCAAGTTCTCATTCACGCCTCCCTCCTCTTCCCGTGAAACTCTTGTTTGCTGCCCACATTCCAGCAAAGTATTTTCTTTGCTACCTTGCACATTTTGAAGACTGCAGCTTGCTGTCCAGAATACTCCCAGCACCTTATAGCTGCTGTCCAAGGTTTTCCCAAGCATCCGAGGTAGCTGTCAAGAAATTCCCAAGTGTCAACGCTACTGTCCAGCCATCGTAGCAATCTCCTATTGCTGTTTTGCTGGCCTTAAAGTTCAGATTGCTGTCCAACAATATCGAGAAGGCAAAATAATAGCAAACAGGTGAACTCTTACCTTCTCTCTTACCTTCCTTGTCGACCCTTTACTTGTGGTTTTGATTGATTCATGAAAATCTTGCAAACGCTCCGCTAAAGCCTAGTGTTTAATAGAATTGTGTGAGGGATCTTTCATAGCACTACTCTTATTGTTAAACTAGGGATTTCTTGTTGAAGCCTATCTCGTATGCAACGTCACGAGTAATTGGTTGTTTTGTGGTTTTTATTTTTCGCAAGTAACTTGGCCTAAGCTTGTGTTTACCACTCTTTATGTTTTATTTCATTGTTTGAATCATCATAAAACTTTAATTAATTAGCTCTTACTCAATAAGCGTGCAAAATCCTAATCTAAATCAAATTTTCATATATGTCCTACACCATCTGGTATCAGAGCATGGCTAGCATGCATTACATATGCTAGAAGTCATCCTAGGAGCATTCGTAACCCTTCTTATGTTTTGTTGCATGCATGTCATCTTTTAAACTAGTTTAAGTTACTGTTATGTTTGTTTTCCACATCATTCATGCACACATCTAGTGAATGTTAGGCTAATTTCTTAATGTCTAAGTGTTGTCCCTTGCACCTAATCTTCATTAGGTTTCACTTCGCGCTTCTCATGGACCCAATAGGACTTCAAAAGAAGTTAGATAACCTAGTTAACCTAGTGGGCTCTATAACTAAAACCATGAAGGAGAAACATGTTGACTCTCCCCACTCTAAGTATGTGCCCCATTCGTTCAATCATGTTAGTCAGAAGATTACTCACTCAGCTTATCATCCTAGTCCTAAGCCCAAGCCACAACAACCTCACTTAGAGTCACATAACCGTCTGCCCACCTTTGATGGTTCCTCGGATTCTTACTACTTTAAGAAATGGGTTAGACAGTTAGAAGACTATTTTGAAACACATGATATTCCTGAGTCCCACCGGGTGAGTATTGCTAAGGCTCGCCTAAACGGTCATGCTTGTCAATTTTGGATGAGGGTAGAAGATCATAGAGAGTCTCGTGGTGAATGTCCTACTTCTGATTGGAAAAACATGAGATGAGAACTTGAATTAAAAATATCTCCCTCTCCCACCTCCACCTCCCCTTACCCTAATACCCAGTAATCTTCATCTAGAACACCATCCTGTCTCTTTTGTTGGGACAAACCGTGAACATTACTGTGGTCAAGACCACTCATTCCTTAGTAACATCAGGGTTGTTGTCCCACCCTGCAGGTCTTCACCTAGCCTTGATGGCCGACCATCTATTGGGTCTTCTATTGGATCGGTCTCATATGACTCCCCACTTGGGTCGACTCCTAGCCATCCCAGCCCCCCTTGTTTGAGCACGCATCCTCTCTACGTGGTGGAACCCGATTTACCTCACCTCGTGAGTGACTTGACCACCTTTCAATTTAATGAGAATTCTGAGACTACCCGACCTTTGGCCTCCCCAGTCTTTGACCCTGCTAGTGTAATTTCAACGAAAAAATGCATTACAAAGAAAAAGTCCCTTGAACCTGAAACTAAGTGCATCCATTTCGTGGATACTAATGATATCATTGATGACAAGGACTTCTTTGAGGATGAAACTGAAGTGACTAAATTAGACTCCCTGCATAACTTCTTTAATGTTAGAGAGAGTATTAGCCCTTACTTTCATGTCACCTCTCTATCTGTTGTGCCCACTTCTGTTCTGGACACTCTACCCTATCTTTTGAGTCTCATACTTGCTGGTGACTCCTTGGGCTATCCCATTATGATTGTGAGTCAGAACCCATCATCTGATCATGTTTATGATTCCTCCGTTATGTCCTCCATATTCTTGTCCTTCCTTGTTAAGGACCATCTCTTTCCTATTTGGATAATTTTGCTAGATTACCCTGCTGCCCCTATGAGACTATCCATGACCCTACCTGAAACTCCCTATGGGAATACCCTTTTTGCTAAGGATGACTTCATTGCTCCTCCTACACCCGTTCTCTTAAACATGAAAAATGAAAATCTTATGTCCTCACATTTTGTGACTGATCCATCTTTATCTATATCTATGTGTGTTTGTGAGTCAGTATGTGTGTGTCTGTTTTCGTCCAAAATTTCCCTCCGTTGAAAACTTTGTGGGAGTCCACAATCCATGTCAATCATCATGCACACCGAGTCTCTTGCATTCTCATTTGCATTGCATCTGCATGACTTACATAAGAAAATTGCACGCAAAATGGAGCAGAGCAACATTAATTATAAGCTTCTTGTTGATTTTAAACAAAGATTTAAAACCTTAGAGGTTGGTGACTTAGTGATGGTGTGGATTCGTCCGGAACAGTTCCCACAAGGAACTGTTAAGAAGTTACATGCCAAAAGTGTGGGGCCATTCAAAATAATCAAGAGAATTAGTGACAATACTTACGGGGTGGATCTGCCTACAGAATTCGACATTAATCCCTCCTTTAACATAGAAGATCTGATTGCTTATGAGGATCTGGAGTGTAACCCGCCAAATCCACTTCAATTTGAGCCGTGTGTGACCCCACCTTGTGAGAACCCAAGCTTACCTCCACTCTCAAATGTTTCTAAAATACATATAGCAGAGAAGATTGACATGATTTTAAGTGATGATATTATTTATGCAAAAGAGAATGGTCGAAGAAGGTATTTGATTAGGTGGAGAGGCAAGCCCGAGTTCGAGGACACCTGGTTAGAGTGCGAGGAGCTTCAACAGATCGACCCAGACGCACTAGTGTTCTACGAGAGCACCCGGGATGCATACTCGACGGAGTCAAGCTCTTTCTCATGCCAGGAGAATGATGAGGACATCAAAACATGGAAAAATATACTAGAGGCGTGGTCGTCGATCAACGACCACTATTACATCACGCTACTTATGATTTTCATATTTATGATTGATGTATTTTTTGTTTATTTTATGAAATTTATTATGTTTTTCCTTTTTTGCCCTTACTTAAGAGCTTAAGTATGTGTAAGCCCTAGGGGCATTGTAGTACTTTTTATTTTCTCATTATATGAGCTATTTAAAGCCCCCCTCTTCTTCTTTGAGAATCAATGAATGAATTATGAAAATTTTCCTGCACATGTGTTCTTTGAGTTGTGAGAGTTCTAGAAAAGAGCTTTGGAGAAATCACTAGGGAGGGAAAACGGATCACCCACCAACCTTGGAGACGGCTGGGTTCATGGTTTGTTTTATCATTTTCTTTTGTTTATTTCTTTCCATCTCCTTTTCCTCCTAGCCACCGGATTCCCTTGCCAAACCCCCATCTTAAGCTGCCGGCCACCATAAACCCACCCTCATTGTAGACTAAACCCCGCTCCACTCCCCATCCGCACCTCCCTTCTTTTTCCCTCCCCCATCCACGGCACATCCCCAAACCACTGGCCCCCTCTTTGGCCTTTTCCCTTATTTCCTAATATAGATTGCCTATAATTAGGATTAATTTTGAATTCAAATCCAAGTGATTTGAAATTCAAAATCTTTCCTAAAATACGAAATCTATTTTAGGAAAGTATTTAAATCTCTTCTCAATTCAATCTTTAATTGAATGAGATTTAATCTCACTTACCTAATTGAAGATTCCCTAGTAAGCAAGCATAGACCCTTCCCTTAAATCCCTATCCCTTCCATCAAGCTGTCGGCCCCCCATAACCCTTTCTTCAAAATATTTTCTAAAGCTCCACTTTCCATATTTAACTCCACCTATCTTTGGAAGGAGTTTGAATTTTGAAATAGTTCAAATTTAAATCTCAACTCATTTCTATTTCATTAATCCTATTCTTGGAAAGGCCCTTAATTAAATCAATTAATCCAAATCTGAATTAATTGAGTAATTAATGCCTTATCTCCAAATACATTGAACCTAGACCTTTTTTTTCATCCCACCTGGTCAAATTGCCTCAGCCCCACCTATTTGCTTTCCTTCCACAAGAAGGCTTCTTCTTTTGGAATCCTTTCAAACCTCCTTCCAAGTTCTCATTCACGCCTCCCTCCTCTTCCCGTGAAACTCTTGTTTGCTGCACACATTCCAGCAAAGTGTTTTCTTTGCTGCCTTGCACATTTTGAAGACTGCAGCTTGCTGTCCAGAATACTCCCAGCACCTTATAGCTGCTGTCCAAGGTTTTCCCAAGCATCCGAGGTAGCTGTCAAGAAATTCCCAAGTGTCAACGCTACTGTCCAGCCATCGTAGCAATCTCCTATTGCTGTTTTGCTGGCCTTAAAGTTCAAATTGCTGTCCAACAATATCGAGAAGGCTGAATCATATCAAACGGGTGAACTCTTAACTTCTCTCTTACCTTCCTTGTTGACCCTTTACTTGTGGTTTTGATTGATTCATGAAAATCTTGCAAACGCTCCAACTAAAGCCTAGTGTTTAGTAGAATTGTGTGAGGGATCTTTATTAGCACTACTCTTATTGTTAGACTAGGAATTTCTTGTTGAAGCCTATCCCGTATGCAACGTCACGAATAATTGGTTGTTTTGTAGTTTTTACTTTTTGCAAGTAACTTGGCCTAAGCTTGTGTTTACCACTCTTTATGTTTTATTTCATTGTTTGAATCATCATAAAGCTTTAATTAATTAGCTCTTACTCAATAAGCGTGCAAAATCCTGATCTAAATCAAATTTTCATATATGTCCTACATCAGTTAGTATGATATGTCACTTAGGTCAAATGGGAAGAGTTAAAGCTTCAAGGCACAAAAAAACATGAATAAAGAGACTAGATCAAAGATATTTCCCTTAGCCCCAAGGTCTGTGGATCTAACCAAAAAATGATATCACTACACTTGCCAAGTGAAAACAGGATCGTGTGCCTGTGGATGGCTCATTATTGAAATGCTTGAACACAAAGGGACTAAGTGGAAAGTTTTCTACTAGCAAGATTATTTTAATCAATAGACATAACATCAAAGTTTCATCGTTCAAGAAATTAACTATGACAAAGATTCAATATCTTTTATTATTGCTTTTATAAGAAATAAAAAGCACTCACCTTTGGGTGAACTAACTTCAAGGCACTACGATAGACCTGCAAGTTTGAGAACAAGTTATGAGGCCAACCCAATGCACATGCGATTTTAATTAATATAATCTAACGACTCTTCAGTCCAAAACATTATTTACTTTTAATATGTGTTTGCTCAGGAAAATCATCAACCCTCTCTGTGAGATTAACAGTTTATTCTTTCACGAGGTAGATTATTTTCAGTTTTATCAGATTTGGCTTGATATTTGGACTAGTGTTTGATTAAATCTAGGATCTAAAGTTCCTATGGACACAAATCCATGTAGTTAATTATCCCTCCTGCTCACGGGAAAGCACTCTCAACTAAGTATATTTATATAGGCTTAAATTTTTATGCTTAGACTCAAGATTAGGATTTCAATTAATTGATGACGGTTAGGGGGATTGAGGTAAATTCTCAACCCAAATCTTATAATTCATCATCCCAAGAATACCAATAGTTTCAGTCTACCAACTTTAGAATATGTATATCGTAACATCTAGAAAACTTGATTAGGAATCATGATTTGCCTACCTCATGTATCCCAAGCAGACTGAGGTTAATGGATGTGAGCTTTAATTGATTTCATGATCCTATAAATGTTCAAAATAACTATACAAAGAAAATCAATTTAAACTTTCCAATGGGTCCAACCCCATTTAATCCAATTTATCAGCTCGACACAAAGCCATCAAACCTATTAAAACCTTGTGTCGCCTCGTTTATAGGGCAAGGTCATAAGGCTCATCTTTCAAGTTACTCGCAAATAGATCAATAAGTCATAACTCAATTAAATTTGAGCCCTTCAATGGATATAAGCCCCAAACCAACTTATATTCGGACAAGTACCTATGCTAGAAAGCCATTAAATCAATTATAACATACATTCATCACACCAATCCGCTAAAGATATCTGAAAGGAGGAAGCCATAGTTATTAATCAAATTCCAAGCCCCATTTTAATCCAATTCATTGAGCCAACACAAAGACATCAAACCTATTAAAACCTTTGGGTCGCCTTGCTTATAGGGCAAAGCCATAAGGAGCATCTTTCAAGTTACGCACAAATAGATCAAAATGCCATGTCTCAATTAAATTTGAGCCCTCCAATGGATATAAACACAACTTATATTCGAACCAACTCCTATGCTAGCAAGCCATCAAATCAATTATAACTTCCATTCATCACACCAATATGTTCAAGATATCTCAGAAGATGAAGCCCATATTTGATAATCAGATTCTCTATATGCTATAGTATACAGCACTCTAACGTTGGTAGACTGGGACCGTTAGTACTCGGGATCATGGAATCTTAATCGGATGTACCTCTATCTCCCACTAATTGAAATCCAAATGTTGAGCCTAAGCCTAAAATTGAGACTATGTAACCATTCATAATCAAGAGTAATCTCCATGAGTGAGAAGGAAAATTAATAGTGGCTATAGCCCATAACAAAGTTTACATTCTAGATCTAAATAAACCCTGGTCCAAATTTTGAAAGAAATTTGATTAAATTGAAACTAATTTACCACATGAAAAATGAACACATTCTCAAAGATGGGGTTGTCATTTTTCCTGAGCAAAAAATTATAGAAGAATCCAGTGTTTATTAATTATTTTTAATACAAAAGACTAGAAATCTTAAAATAGCATAGGTATCTAATGGCACCAATATCATAGAAGGAAGAACAAAGATATCATCTGTATACAGGAGCATGTGTATAATTTACAAAAACACATTAAAATAGAAGACCATCATGATGATGAATTCCACAGCACATTTATTAACATCCTGCATAATAAACAACAAGAGTAACAAAGGAATGCAAATTTACCGAATAATTAGGCTTTAAAGCATAAGCAGCTGCAATATAAATAGCAGATTGACTGTAAAGTTCCTTAGGAGAGACTTCTTTATGGTTAACTAGCCTTCCGGGTCTTACTGTGTCCTCTGCTAAGCCATACTGCAAGGTTTTAATAAACATATAATCAGATTATCACACTTAACGGAATAATAGCATCAATGGTAAATGTTGATAAGGAAAAATATTATAATAGTCACCAGGACCGTCCCGAGATTATAAATTGCCCTATGAAAATCAAACTGAAGACGGATGGAGGCGCGAAACTGCAACAGAGAGCCATATCATACACATATGATAACAACTTTATGGGACATGTTCCATGCAAATTCATGTGATCATGACACAAAAGAAGGTGACCTCATGCCTCCATTTGACAATTGTACCTTGCTTATAGCCATCCGCACAATGTTCTGCTTCTCCCGAATAGGAACTATAGCACTAAGTTCCTGCAATTAAAGATTAATAACTAAATGTTCCAATACCTGCAACAGGAAGCAATTAAAGAAACAAAAGTACCAACCTGTAGGGCAAGACCCCAATTGTTAAGGGCCTACAAAGTGAAATAAGACAAATTAAATTCTAATGTAAGTTACAAATACTACACTAATTAAATATCTTGACAAAAAGCATACCTGAGGACTGTTCCAGTTAAGCTGAACAGCCTTTTCATAATTTTTTGTAGCCTGGGAAACAAAATGTCATTGAAGTAAATTTAAAAAACACACAGAAAATGCAGGCTAGTGCACATGGAAACAGAGATCAAGTGTGCGTAAACACATTCTCAAAGAAGGCAAGTCTAAGGCAAGCGAATACAATCATATAGCAAGTAAGAATGGGTGAGGATATGAAAGGAAATATGTGATGCCATCTCTTGGCAGTAAAAAAGGTATGTTAAACATATCTAATACATCTTAGACAACAAGTTATTAGACAATGCGTGATACGGTGTCCAATAGACTATTTCACCTACCTGATTTTAAATTTCAAAAAGAATAGCTGGTCACCATATTACATCCACATCCTATAATACAAAAAACTAGTAAATTGTCTAAAATGTTGGTGATAAAAACTTCTTGATATTTTATTAATGATAAAGTGGACATAACACCAATAATAGATTGATTTAGCACAAGGAGACAATTTTATTTACACCCTTGCAAGGGAACATGAGAGATCCTTCATACCCGAGCTGTACGATCTTGACTTAAGACCTATGCTCAAGAAACTAGGGAGTATATCTGATGTAGAACGAGAAGGGAAAAAAGGGGACATTTGAAATTTGAATTTCTTGCTTTAATTGAGATCAAAATATTAAGAATAATTAAATCAAATCAAATCCAATTAAAAATCTAATTAGATTTAATTTAAGTAACTTTCCTAGGCTATCTTAAATTAGCAAAGTATTTCAAATTCAAAATTACTTAGAATTTGAAATCAAATATTTTCCTAACTTAAATCGTTTGATAAAAAGAAAGTAATCAAAGGAGAATTCAAATTTTGGAGGCAAAGAGGAAGAAGGGAGGGAAGGGGCCGGCGGCACTAAAAGGGGGAGGAGAGGTCATGGAAAGAGAATTAAAAATGACTTTAATTGGAACCTTAAATTAGGGAGTAATATTTAAATCACATCCAATTAAATAATTAACTGGACCTAATTCAAATACTTTTCTAAAATAAGAATCCTAATTTTAGAAACAAAATTCAAATTCAAATTAATTTGAATTTGAAATTTCAATTTGTTACTAAATTAGAATGGTTAAATTAGGAAAGGGCTTTAAATGTGAAGGGAGATTTGTGGAACCAAGGGGAATTAAAGAAGGTGGCCGGCTGTTTGGTGAAACCGGCGGCTAAGGAGGTTGGCGGGGGGGTGTTGGAAGTGGAGCTAAGGACGTGGGGAGGGAGAAGGGGAGGCCGATTTTGTGAAAGTGGAAGGGTTTTTGGGAGAATCGGCCGGTGGAAAGTGGGGGGTTTTGGCTGGAGGTCAAGGGAGGAGGAGAAAAGGATTTAGGGAAAGAAAGATACAACTGCGAGCCCGAACACATCCTGCAGCTGACGGGTATTACGTTGCCCTTCACCATGGGACTTCAGGCCACGAGCCCGGACGCATCCTGTGGCTGGTGGAAGCTATGGATTCCTCCCATAGGAATCTCACCCAAGGTTCTTCCCAAAGAACACAAGTGCAAACACAAAATTTTATTAATCATCCAACATTACATTACACAAGCAAGGGCCTCTATATATAGGCCTAAGAAACTAAAACAAGACACATATGCCCCTAGGGCTTACATAGGATGACCGTCTTAAGTAAGGGTAAAAACGAAAATTCATAATAAAAATAAAAATTACAAATAACAAATTAAGATAAGGTGGAATGATCTCAGCCGTCGATCGTCGTCTCCTCCTTTGAAAATCTTCATGATCAGATGTCTGCATCATTCTCCCAGGGTGGAAAAGAGCTCGACTCCATCAAGTCCGCACCCCGGGTAACCTGGCTCTGATACCAAATTGATCTAGAGTAAGAAGGGAAAAAGGGAACATTTGAGATTTGAATTTCTTGCTTTAATTGAGATCAAAATATTATGAATAATTAAATCAAATCAAATCCAATTAGAAACCTAATTAGATTTAATTTAAGTAACTTTCCTAAAATAGGCTATCTTAAATTAGGAAAGTATTTCAAATTCAAAATTACTTAGAATTTGAAATCAAATATTTTCCTAACTTAAATCGTTTGATAAAAGGAAAGTAATCAAAGGGAAATTCAAATTTTGTAGGCAAAAAGGAAGATGGGGGAGAAGGGGCCGACGACATTAAAAGGGGGAGGAGAGGTTATGAAAAGAGAATTAAAAAAGACTTTGATTGGAACCTTAAATTAGGGAGTAATATTTAAATCACATCCAATTAAATAATTAACTGAACCTAATTCAAATGCTTTCCTAAAATAAGAATCCTAATTTCAGAAACAAAATTCAAATTCAAATTAATTTGAATTTTAAATTTCAATTTGTTACTAAGTTAGAAGGGCTAAAATAGGAAAGGGCTTTGAATGTGAAGGGAGTTTTGTGGAGCCAAGGGGAAAGAAGGTGGCCGGCAGTTTGGTGAGACCAGTGGCTAGGGAGGTTGGGGGGTGGTGGAGGTGGAGCTAAGGTCGTGGGGAGGGAGAAGAAGAGGTCAGTTTTGTGGAAATGGAAGGGTTATGGGAGAATCGGCCGGTGAAGTGGAGATTTTGGCACAATATATATCTGAATAATTGAAAAGTATGGATTAAATAATCTCCTTATGCTTTGTTTGAAAAGTTTACAATTCACTAAAGAGAAAAGGGTATTGACAAGAAATTCATATTACATCTTGCTCTTTAAACACACGGATAACGAAATAGCCTAATGCTGACGTCAATGATATTTTCATGACTAGAGAATACGAGTTTGAGTTTGACAATGAATAAAATCTTCCCCACAGACCAATGACAGTGATATAAAGCAAAACCACTGGTCATTAACCAATAGATTATTTATGCTTGACATTATGCACCATCATCCTCACGCAGACCAGACCAAAATGAGAAAGCACTAACAAAGGACTGAAGGGAGATGTTCCCTTTAACCATTAAGTCTCCCAACATAACAAACTTCATATAGTATGTTATAGCCTCTAATCACTTTAGCCTCTAAATAAGCTTCAACATGCACAAAACAAGGGATATAAGTCAGAGGACCCTAATTCCAAATCTTGGCTCAAGATGCAAGCCCAAACATAACTCCTAAGATCTAGAGAACTAGGCTCCCACCATCTCATTTTTTTTTCAAATGTCAGATCCAAATCTCTGCGTTTCTTTGGGTCTCTGAAAAAAATTTGTTGTCAGTTTCTTCCCTAAATAGACTAAGCATTAAGTACCCTGCTAAGACCTCCTTCAGTTGGCTTTTCTAGCAGAATCCAGATTGAAACCATCATAATCCAAGCAAGACCACAAAATGCAGCTTTCCCTATGCTTACAGTGTCCTTAACTACGTGTTTGCAGCACCAAAGCTTCATTTGGCAGGATGGCACTGTGGAGTTTTCTAGTTTCACATCAGCGATCAAAAATCTCTTGTTAAAAATGATCACATGCCAGCACATTTGCATCCTATCATTTTAACAATTTGTATTTTTGTATACCTTCCATATCCTGCAATATGAACAGCAAGGTATCAAAGGAAATTATTTGACCAGGAAGAATGCCGCAATAATGGTGACATCTTCAATGGAGACATTGACGACGAATGCCAATAAATCATTGGAATGCATGCAAGATGGAACACCAAAATGGCACCATTTCTATAACAAAATGCAGAAGGTAAAACATTCATGAAAATCTAGAGACAGTATACTGTGTGGCCACGTTAATGTATAAAGTACAACTAACTAGACTCAACTGGTTATGATTATTTTGATCAGCACATGTTTAATAACATACTTGGACTCAATTCTTACAACTTTATATGTTCTAGATTGTGAACTCACAATAATTCAATAAAGCCTTAAAGAATAGCTTTCAGAAGAGACTTAAGCTAGTCCTATATGCCACATAGACAATTCGAATTGCTCTACTATATGTATGATTCTTTCTATGTTAGACAAGATATATATATATATATATATATATATATATATATACTTTGATATGTGACATCTATAGCGCGGAATGACATGTCTGATCACATCCAAAGAAATGGACATTTAAAGAGCAACACCAATAGTGAAAATAATAAACTTTGATTCATACAGCAATTAATATCATTAAAAGGTGGATGAACATTAACATGATTTAAAAAAAAAATTAAGCGCATCAAGTATTGGCAAGGTACTGTGGAAAACTACAACATTATTTAGATTAAACTGCAGAAAGTATTTCAATGGCCAAAAATACTCTTGTAGATTTAACATGAGAAGAGAACATTGAGCAACGAAATACATTAATTTCTTCAGATCATAATTAATAGAAGTATAAAACAGCATTTACCTGTTTCCATAGCTCTTCAGCCTCTAAAGTTCGACCTCGTATTTTCGCTCGGTCAGAGATAGCAATAGCCCAATTGTAAAATGCCTAATAGAAAAGATAGAACCTTATGGAAATTTTATGGAACTACCCATGGCAAAGAATTAAGTAAAAAATATGGTAACTTCAAGAAAAAGAACAAACAAAGCTAGACTTGTTGACCAAGCATTTAATGACAACATTGGATTTATACCAGCTAGTTAGAAGCGTAGAGAAAAATTAATACGCTTAGAGTTAAATAAAGACACCAAGAAAGCTTTCCTGGATGATAAGATATAAGATACAAATTACACTCTGAGAAGGAATTACCACTCACTTATTCATACGGTAAATAAGAATTCTTTCTAGTGTCACAATATTGTTCTGGATCATTATCAACGGAAGTTTTGACACAGCTTCAGGAAATGGTCATAATTCTTCAATAAGAACCACTTATCACAATTTACTTTAAAAGCTATTTGGAAGCGGACAAGTATCTCTATTTACTCTTGTTGTTCTAAATTTACATTCTTAGAAGGGTTTAAAAAACTTAAGAAACTATTTAAGCAAAAATGGGCATTTGTAATTTAACTGTGGGATATTTTTTGGATCTCCTCACTCGAACCACTCTCATATTTAAGGATATGTTAGAATACTTCTTTTATTATCTAAATATTTATATCCTTTGATACCTGCATAAGGAGTGGTTAAGCAGACTTTAGAATAGTTTTTCCCAGGTTAAAGCATACATACAAGCAAATCTAGTTATTATTCTGCATTATCACTTATATTTCTTTCTTCATGCGTCTTCATCACATAAAAACCCTTAAATGCATGGTTCACCGACCTCAACCCCTTCAAAAAAAGGAATATTTGGTAAGAGGGAAGCTTATGTACCAAAACTTTAACAACTCATTCTTGATCACGTAACAGGAAAAAAAATTTTTCTAACTAAGTTTTTGAACATAATCAATAGCTTTTAATGTAGAACGTTGAAAGAAATTTTTGTAGCAAGAAATTTATGTGAGGTGCATAAACTTTCTCAACATGTCAAGAGTTCTTGAAAGTAAGAAGTCAATCATCCCACAAGCAATATGAAAAACAGCTTAAAACGATACAACAACATGAATAATCACACAATACTAATAGCTCTTTTTATTAGAAGAATGTTAGGCCTATAGCTAACATTTGAAGCAAAAACATATTCCAGACACATCAGCAAGCAAATTATTTATATCCCATAAAAGAAGTCAAGCTATGGATTAGAGGAGCAAGTGAAATGGGATCAAGTGGAGACAGGAAATGATGCATACATCATGAAGGGTAGGACATAGTTGTGTAGCCTGTTCATATTTTTTACAGGCTTCCTCAAGTAATGAATCTTTTGAAGGATCTGTCGATTCTGGAGCAACAATGTCTGCACTCTCCTGCAAACAATTCAATGCATTTAGGAGAATAAAATCTGTTAGCACAATATATATCTGAATAATTGAATGATTGTAAGAAAAAACTGTCATCTGAATAAAAAAAGCTAATTATAGCAATCAAGCTTCTCCTTGTAATGGCTACTCATAGCAAAAATTGGAGGGTAAACGACCTAGCACTTTAAAAATAGTATAGGTAGGTGCTAAAGATCCATTATGATATGCACACTTTATACGCGCTCTGTTAGTATGAAATATGACATTTGGAACAAACTGAAAAAAAAATGATATACAAGTTTGGCATGAATACCGCATGAAGTATCATTCATTATTGAAAAGTATTGGTGAAGTAGAAATAACCTGAAGAACAAGAGCCCAGTTGTAATAAGCATCATGATCATTAGGATTTTTTTCTATTGCTTCAGCATACCTAAAATATGTTGTACAAAAAAGGATGAAAATATGAGAAACCAGAATATAAATCATATAATCAGGACGTTGTAACCAAAATGACGCATGCATACCTATGGAAGTTTTCAAACTTGGATAATCAAGTGCGAAAATAGAATAATATCCAACTATTATTAATTTACTCATACAATAGCATTATGTGGCCATTCTCCGTAATGAATGCCATATAGAAATTGCAATTTGCAATGCATGTGAAAAACCCCAAGCTCTTAGCATCTTAGAATGACTTTATCCCTTTGACAATTACAAACACAAAGCAAGGGACTTCGATGTAACCCATGCTGAGCAGTTGGCTTCATGAGGATAAGAGGTTCATTAATAAAGCATACTCTTGTGTAAGTATAAATTGATCAACAAATCATGTTCTTTTAATTCTATGTTGAACACCTTTGGATTTCAGGACATTGAAAAGCAGGACAAAAAGAACTATTGGCAGATCCTGGTCCTGGTTTGGTGAGTTTAAGGGTGAAAGGATGAGAGAGGGAAAGCAGGAGCAACTCCTAGAATATTAGGATTTTCTTAATAAACCAATAATTATTGCAGCTGCCTTCACCATCAATATATAATAGGCCATTGCAGCTCCTAAAATAGGCGCTTTGTACACCCCTTAGCTCAGTGATTTTTTTTTGTGGGGCAACAAGCACATGCGAGAACCATCACGTCAAAAGGAAAACCTCAAGCTCAGGTTAAAAGAAGACAGAAGAATTAGGATATAATATTGTGTAGATGACCTCTGCAACTTTTGTACAAAGAGTTTTCTTCTTTCCCCTCTCCATTATACCCACCTTATTGATGAATCTTTTGACCTCCATCTTAGCTTTCAAACGCCTAAGGCTATTTACAACACCCTTTTTTCTTGACGGGAGCTAATCTCATCAAACTATCTAATTAAATCATTGAATTCTCTGCTCAACTAAATTATCATGCATCCATATTACATTCATGTGACAAATATATATCAAGAAAATAAGTTCTTTTTTAATTTAGTTGGATCTCATGCTATGATGCACCGACACTTTTCCTCAAAGAGGCGTGCAGTGTCCGACAACGTATCCGACACGACACTCGTCCGACACTCCTCCGACATGTGTCGGACACACCGAAAACGTGTCCGATTAAAAAATATTAAATACAAATTGGGCATGCGTGTTCGACACGCGAATCTTAAATATTTTATGAATTTTTTAAATATAATTTCTTGTATTTGAGGAGATTTAAACTAAATTTCTTATTTCATATCCAAAACATCAAATCAACGTCCGCACTTAAAACCCAATCATCGAATATTCTCGTTTTCATTTCTTTTTGGCAGTGAAGCTATTTTCATCTCCTCTCTCAGTGACTGATAAACGGCATTGACGCCTGACTCTCGACATCCTAATACTAATCATTTTAAGCACAAATTCTAGTTAAATGACTTATTATTTTCAAATTATTTTTAATATTATACTTATTTAATTTTTATACAGTATTTTTTAAATATAAAAACTATAATACCGTGTCCAACCCGTGTCTGTGTCCTATATTTTCAATAACTAACGTGTCTGTATCGTGTCGTATCCGTGTCGCCGTGTCCATGTCTGTGCATCATAGATCTCATGTAGCTTAAATTTGCATTCAAATATGAAGTGGATGCAATTTCAGCAAAACCAGAGAACGGAACAAGAAATTCAGGAAGAAAATCACACAAGAACACTTTTTTATTGAAAGAACTAAAAAAAAAAACACAAGATACAATTGGATCTTCAATTAGAGAGGAAGATCCGACTCTCCCAAATCCCTAGTCGTCGGCTAACACCTAAACAAAACTAATTTCAGCAAACACCAGCATAAAGAAAAAAATTGAACCCTAGGGTAAAATCTACTAAAAAGCTTACAATCTCATATTAAAATCCCAAAACAACCCCTTCATTTTCCATCCTAGCCATCCCCCTTCCCTATTGCCCACCCCAAAGGGGCAGGGACTCAATCCAAGCAGAATATCTTCCTACTGTAAACCAGGATGGACCGGTCCATCAATACCCCCTCTTAAAGACCCATATTGCCCTCAAGGTGGAAAGATGGAAACTGCTATTTCACCCTCTCGTATGGCTCCCATGTGGCGTCATGGTCGGGTAGGTTCTTCCATTTTATCAACACTTCCTTGATCCCTCTCTCTCCCTGTCATACCCCTTTCAGCTCCAATGGTTCCAACACCACCTCAAAATCCTTTGTCAATGTCACGGGTAACTATGTACTGAATGCATGATCCCCAATAGCTCTACTCAACTGTGACATGGGGAATACCGGATGCATAGTAGCGGTTGGGGGTAAACTCAACCAATAAGCCACTACTCCAATCCTCTCTAATATCTCATAAGGGCCAAAATACCTCATGACCAATTTCTCGTCCCTCCTGTTAGCTACCATTCTTTGTCTGTAGTGACGAAGCTTCAAGTATACCCTATCCCCTATGTTCATATCTCTTAAATTGGTACATTGATTTCCCATCGCATTTTTGCAACAACCTACTCTTCGTTGGCAAAAGTGAATGAGTCTACCATCAATGCTATGCTCAACACCTCAAACTTATTAAAAGATAGAATGAGATTACAAATAAATCTAGACAAATCAAATATTGTTTTTGCCAAGGCAATTAATAATTGAATTTCTCCTTTGAATCTCTACATTCAAAATTGTTAAAATACATTGCTCCTACATTGACTTGCCTAAGTGAAATGATAAGTTGAAAATTGCAGAATGCCAATGCCTTTTTGATAAATTTAACAACTAGATTGCATATTTGAAACATAAATTCTTGTCTTTCTATGGTCGTTTACAAATGAACAATTTCTCTATAAACAGCTCTCTCTCCTATTGATTTAGAGTTTTTTTTTTTATTATTTCTTTGAATAACTTTATAATATTTATCTATTGATTTAGAGTTACTTATATACCTAAAGTTGTCATTAAGAACATTCATAGTTTCATTTTCATGTTGCTCTTCCACAACAAAGGCAAAGAAAACTCAAACCTGGAACAGTATTGCACAACCTTTAGTGAATGGGGCATCGGTTTTCTTAATCATGTCTGGTTTAACTATGCATGCAAAATTAAATAAATTTAGAAGTTTATTACTGGTGATTCTCTTTTGCCTATCATTCTCTTGGTGAAAATATGGTGCCCCCCTCTAAATTCCGAAAATTAGAAAAAGCAAATGGCACTTGGTCTCCCGCCAAGTATGTTTCAGCGGACCCTAATATTTATTTTCTCTTAATTGTTCATGTTTCGCCTGCTACGCTTGACCGCACTCTGACTTATGTGAGGAAGATTCGTTTGCCTGCTCTGCTCGACCGATCCAGCACTCCAACTTCTTCTATGAGGAAAACTGGGTTTGCACATGTTGTTGAAGCCTGGAGCAGTGGAGCTTGACATCGCCATCATTGGAAACAACATAAGGTATAAGTCTATCTTATATATTGGTATATTTAAATTTAAGTTTATCTACTTATTTTTGTTACGTATTAAATTATCTATATTGTGTTTAATATTGATCAATCTTTTTGTTGTATTACACATATTGACGATCGTGACCACAAAATTTTGTGCTTGACAGTTCATGGCATTATATTTTATCAAATGTATATGGCGCATTTTAAACAAGCCAAATTCCGCAAAACATATGGTGTTATACTTGACAATCATGTTGAATTCCAAAAAGCATCAGATCAACAATATGTAGCTTCTGATGCATGTAAGAAAATAACTGGGATAAAAAACTTGATGAGAGTTCTCATCCTCCTTCAAAAGTTCCTGAAAGTTTAATTGTCTTAGAAGAGAAATCCAATAGGTATAGCATGTCAACCTAAAACTATTCTAGATATTTACACATTAGGATAATTCATGTCAATCAATTTCGACTTCATGACCTATCAGTTCTTGATCAATAAAATCATTATTTTTTTTATGGTTAATTTAAGGAAGGCTTTGTTGTTTAAGAGGTTAAGCATCCTAGAGTTGATGAAGAGTTGGAATCATGTATTTTTTTTTAATGTTTGGATTAGTTGGTTGAAGTTGGAAACTCTATTCTAAAAAAATCGAAACAATTGGTAGATCATCATTTTGAATGTTAATAGCAATTTGCTTTAATTGGAAGCATAGATGTACTTCTTTTGAATATGTCTTCTCAAATTATCTCTCAATTGAATTATGTAATCAGAAATTGGGGCCCCTGATGTAGGACTTAAATGCCCAAGCGATGTTAAAAAAGAATCTTGCACAATTTAATTTAGAGAACTTTATTAACTAAAATACTTGTAGTGATTAAATGATAAAATAAAACAAAAAAAGAGATGAGACTAGCTTAGGCCAAGTCGCACAACTAGAAGTTAAGATCACAAAATAATCACTAATTCAAAACATAGCATACATGGAGGTTTCCAAATAGAAATCCCTACGTTAACAATGAGATTATTCGCTGTAAGGAATCCGTCCCTCACTTTTTAAATTACTAGGTTTAGCGGAGAGACTTAACACGATTTTAATGAATCAATTAAAACCACAAATTAGGGTAAGAGTTAGATATGAAAAGATTTAGGGGAAAGATTCACCTTGCTTAGGATTTGGAGACAATTTGTCATTGGACGGAAGAAAGTTGTTCGTCGATAGCTTCAGTGATGGTGAAGACGATCATTTGCACGTAATCCTCTATTGTTTGGTCAATCTCGAGGTTGAGATCAAAGAAAGGGGAGTTGAGGATGTCGACGTGGCCTTGATCAACGTAAACGAAACCGTGATCAAGTTTTGGATTCGCCATGCATGAGGGGACAATAGATTTTGGTGTGCTGGAACTTCCAAGCCGCAAACGACGATCTCCTGGTCGGTTGTACAGTAAGGAGGCATGCAGAAACTTTTTGGACAGCCACCCAACAATGTCCTAAAAATCTAGACAACAACTTGGGAACCTAGAATTAGGGTTTAGAAGTTTTCTTGGGAGAGAGGAAGGTAAGAGGGAGCAGCAGCCTTTAGTTGGGTTTAATTGGGGGAATTAATGAGGGATTTAATGTAAGTTAATTGGATTGGAGAGCGAAAGAAAGAGAGAGATAGGGAGAGGGGGTCGGCGGCTTTGTGAAGTGTGGTAGGGTTTAGGAAAGATGATTTAATGCTTGGCCACATAAAGACCCCAAATTTTGGGAAAGGATTTAAATCCAATCCAATTCAAAATTAATTTGGGCTTGATTTGAGGACTTTCCAAAAATAGAGTTCTTGATGAGGACATCAAGACATGGAAAGTTTATTAGAGGCGTGGTCGGCGATCTACGGCCACGATTACACCGCTCTACTTTGATTTTCATATTTGTTATTGATGTATTAGTTTTATTTATGAAGTTATTATGCTTTTTTTTTCATTTGTTGCCCTTACTTAAGGGCTTAGGTATGTGTAAGCCCTACGGGCATAGTAGTACTTTGTATTTTCTCATTGTATGGGCTATTTAAAGCATCTCTCTTCTTCTTTGAGAGTTAATGATGATGATGAAAAGAAAATTTCCTGTGTATTGTTCTCTTGATGTGAGAGTCTGTGAGTCTTGGAAAGATCCCTAGAAGAGGGATATCGGATCACCCACCATCCTTGGAGACGGCCGAGTTCGTGATTCTTCTTCCTTACCTTTCTTCTTTATCTCTTTTTCCCTTCCCTTCATCCCCTAGCCGTCGGCCTAAGGTCCTTCCAACTGCTAAGCTGCCGGCCACCTAATTCCCACACACCACCCGTCGCCTAGATCCACTACCCACCACCATCCATGGCCACCCTCACACCGCCGGCCCATCCCCTTGGCTTCCCCACTCATCTCCACTTGCCATCAAGTCTTTCCTAAATTAAATTTCATATTTTTGGTAACTCTATTAATGATCAAATTCAAATATATTTGAATTTGAAATAGTTACCTAATTTATAAATCCTATTTTAGGAAACTTACTAAAAATATAGTCTATCTAAATTTGAATTAAATTGGGATGATATCTTTCTTTCCAAATTTAGTTTGTTAATTTAGGCAAGAATTGATTGCTTCATTCATCCCTTCCTCCTCCTTATTTATTTCCATTACTAATTCCCAATCAAGCCCTTAAATCAAATCCAATTAAATTCTCATTGGGTTTGATTTAATCTAATCACTCCTAATTGAAAAAATTGTTGATTAGATTGTAAAGAGCACCCCCTTGGCAGCCCTAGCCGTCTCTTCCCAAGGCCCCTCACTCCAAAATTTCCCCTCTTTGGGAAATCTCTAACTATTGTCCAAGAAATACAGCAAGTCTCCTCTGTTATCCTATATTCCCGAGAGGCTTATTTTGCTATCCAAGACCCCTCCGACTTGGGTAACTACTGTCAGATTTTTTGGATGTTGTTATGACTGCTATCTGAAGCATTTCAAGTGCCAAGCAGCTGTCCCGATCTTCATGTGCTGCTACTTACACATTTCCACTTGCTATCCAGAAATTCCTGGATGCTAACAGGGGTTGTCCTCCCTTCCAAACTGATGTAGGCAAGGAGGGGGGTCAAAACATCTTGGGTTGTAACTTTCGTGAGCTTCAATTTCCTCTACTAAAAGTCAGCTCATTAATATCTAGTAGAGTGCCTTAAGCTCATAAATTGAAAGAATTAATTAGATTCATTCCCCCCCTCCTTTTCGTCCCCCTCTATTGGCCCTTTGATTTCCTCCCCTTGGCTGCCTTCCCGTGACTGGTTCCTTCCCCTTGTGCTGCCTGTTCCAGTCCCCAAACTGCCTGTTCCGGTTCCCCCTTGTGACCCCTCGATTTTCCCTGCCTGGCTGTCTGTTCCGGTTCTTAGTTCTAGTTCCCTGGATGATGTCCCAGTTCCCCTGTGTTGCCCCTTCGATTCCTCGCCTTGCTGCCTGTCCTGTGGTTGCGTTACCCGATTTTCTGTGTGATTTTTTCGGGTGCTTTTCTGGAATAAATTATGGCCTTTTTGTGGCTCTTTGGGAGTTGTTTGTGGACAGCCCCTTGACCTTCCATATTCTCTTGTTTTATGGTTTATTTGGAGGTAGCTTTGGGTTATTTAGCTACCTCTTATCTCCTATATATATTTGATGTTTAGAATGTTTAAAAAGTTTATGTTATGTGGCTGATTTTTGGAAATAAAAACCTAAGTCTGAGGGCTTGTTCCACTTCTTCTTCTTCTACTTCTTGGGAAGGCTTGCGAGCTTGTCCTCTCTTCGTCTTGGGCTTCTTACCTCTTTCTTCTCGCCGCAAGTGACCACCACATCTGTATCTTTCGTCTCAAACAAAGAAGAGCTCCTTTAGGTGTTGTTTATGTTTATGTTTGTGTTTGTAAATGACAAAAGTTGTGTAAGTGTCTTTCTATTATAAAAGTAAAGTTGTATTTTGTTTTAAATGTCATATTTTGTCTAATTTTGAGAACTTTATGTATTCTTATCTTAGGAAGTTTGTGTAACTTGTATGCTTGCAAAAATTGGGGTCTCCCTATATTTTTGCTTGCATCACAACCCTAGAGAACTGCTATCCAAGGCCTCCTGGCCTGCTGTCCAGTGATTCCAACAAGAATTCACTGCTGTCTAGCCCCTTTGGAAGCCACCATTACTGCCTGAAACTGTCAGAAATCACTGTCTCAGGTTGGTTGCTTGCGGTCCAAAGGTTCGAGCTTGGGTTGTTGCTGTCCGAGCCATCCAAGAAGCCACCAATTGCTGTCCAAGCTTGCGAGGAGGTTGAATCTTAGCAAAGGGGTGAACTCTTTCCTTATCTCATACCTTCCTCGTTGATCCTTACTTGTGGTTTGATTGATTCATGCAAAATCTTGCAACGCTCCGCTAAATCTTAGTGTTTAGTAGGAATTGTGTGATAGATCTTTCATAGCACTACTCTTATTGTTAGATTAGGGATTTCTTGTTGAAACCTCTCTCGCATGCAACGTCAAGAGTAATTGATTGTTATGTGATTTTTACTTTTCGTAAGTAACTTGGACTAAGCTTGTGTTTACCGCTCTTTGTGTTTTATTTCATTGTTTAACTCACCATAAAGCTTTAATTAACTTGCTTTATCAAAACTATTAGTACGGCATTGAGGAACTCTCCACATTATAAAGTTGGAAATCGGGAAGGATTATCCCTTTATTTTGATCATTGGCTCAAAGGATCTTCTTTATGGGATGTTCATCTCTCTACTTGTTTAAACTTCCCCTCATGTCCCCCTTATGTTATATTATCTCTAATGGCACTTGGAACTTCCCACAAGACTTATCCAACTTCTAGAATGCTTTTCAGCCACTTCTAAACTTAGTATCTCTATAGAGAATGAATTTTTTTTTTTTTTTTTTTTTTTTTGAGAGATAAAGAGAACATGAATTTGACTGATGCAAAAAAATTCTTTTCTCTTGTCTTCCTAAGGCTGCATGGTATAACTATGATTGGTTAAAAAAGAGCTCAATTCACAATTCAGTGCATATACGGAAAGCTTGCTTGAATCTGTTTAAAATGGCAATCAATCTCAAGTAAGGGGGCTTCACATTCCTACTACTTGCATTCTTTGTTCTATTCTTGAGGAATGTAATGAACATTTATTCTTCAGATAAAGATCTTCCTTATGGCTTACCAAAAAAAACTCTCTAATTTGGCAACTTCTTTCTTTTGGATGCACTCAAATGCAAGTTCTTCAACATAGTGACTCTTGTAATAATTAAATTATGATAAAAAAAAATTATTTGATAACTATGGGGGTGATTATCTCCTGCATTTAGAGTCACAATTTTATATTTCTTTATCCTGGTTCTCTAAATCCTCATATAATTTGTTAGTGAAGCAAAAATTTTACAGATGGAGAACAGGAGAAGGTTTAAAAAAAAAGGAAGAAGATTGCGAGCGTGTCTTCCAAAGTTGTATGGGTTCTTAATATGGCTATATATTTTTTATGCCAATCTTTGTTCCTTCAGGCAAGGCTACAATCTGAGCACTTTCACTAACATGGAAACATTACACTCCTCTTCTCTTTCTGATGTGTTTTGTGTTTCCCTGAGCTATTTTATACTGAATTATTTTTCTGGGATGCAACCATTTTAACAATCTTGGGAATAGTCTCTCAATTTTTGAGATTCAGTCATAACAGGTTTTGTGCTATGATGTTAACAATGTGCTTTTGGCATTTGAAGCTCAATCCCGCCTCTTGCTAGACATAATCCTCCTTGCCTTCAAGAGGTCGTCGGACAGAGCTAATGCAGTCTTCCTACATCAAATAAGCCCAACCTTTTTTTCTTTTGAGGGCGGCTTTTCCTACCCTTCTTTCTTGCATGTGTATTTGGGTCTTTTGACTACTATTTCAATCAAATTTTTGGAAATAGTTTTTTTTTTTTTTTTTACACTTGTAATTTCTTCTTTTTAAAAAAAAAACATAGATTGGGCCTTCTTGCCGTCAACTTCCTCAAAATAATAATAATAATAGTATTTCTATATCCTTTTCCATGAAATATAATAGCCATAACTATTCTAAGACCTAAGTTAACATCCTAACAACCACAAGAAAAAAAATTATGGTTTAAAAATAATGAAAAGAACCTTTTAGCCGAGAAAACCAGGATTTTCTGCCGAGATCGGCCTTCATCATCTGTTCCAGAAACCTTGTGGATCAGCTCCATGGAAACATCATTCTCGGTAACCGAGTGCTGTGGAAAGCTTTCCTGACTGAAATAAACAAAAAAAAATTGAAATTTTAAGGACCAGAAATGTATTAGTTTCCTAAATAAATACAAAATAATTTGTGCTGCCTAAATGAAAAACATTGCAAGCTGACTAATATAACAATCAATTCACAGGAAGAAAGCAAAAAATCAACCATTAGAGGGTCGACTGCAAAAGAGATGTTCTGCCATCATGCTTCGTACTTACAACATTCAAACATGAGGCCGGTGGGCTCAATGTTATTAACGAGACAAAAGAAGTTGCATATTCAATATATCGAATCAAAAGCAACATTATATGTAACGTGAATTCGCCAATTGGAAATCTGAATCAACTCAATGAACGTAATCTGAATTCAAACATACTCCTAAAAACCACCGTGCTGTTACCCAAGTCCGTCAAGATCTGACCAATGGACATATAAACGGGAAAGATATCCCACCCAGCAAGAAGAAAGAAGACCAACCTGAAAGAAGATCCAACATCCCTACGGCTCCCATCGGAGGCTGCGGTGCTAACCCTCCGAACTTCTTCCCCGCCGCTGGCGCTTTCCGCAATCACCTCTTTCCCAGCTCCCGCCTCCTCAGTCTTCAACTCGTTCAACAGCTCCCTCATTGTAAAAGTTCGGCTTCCCGCTCCGTCAATATTCTTCTCGGACTTACCGGACGGGACCGAACTCTCCGCCTTCGTCCCGACATCGGCTTCCTCCACCGGCTTCCCGTCGGTGATCTCCGGCGCCTCGCCGTTCTTTGATTCCTGCTCGTCCATGGCCAGATCGATCTAAGGTTTTAGGGTCTCTTTCCGTCGAAAAGGCAAGGAAAAGTATCAGATGTGCCACACCAAATGGAGAGACGCCGAGGATCCCAAGTTTTTATTCGTTGTGGACTGGCGCAAGAAAAAGGCCAGTGAGCGGAACAATTATTAAGTCCTCTTGACCGGACGTAGAGCTCGCCACTTTCTCTTACTCTTTACCGTGCGGCTGAGCGGAACCCGGGAATATTATGTTCTCAATTTTCTCGATATTGTTCGGTATTTGCTCGGTATTGCTAGTTATTGTTTTGCAAAAACTAGAAATACCGTTCTGTGAAGATCAATATCATGCAAATACGGAGTTGTACCGAGTTTTTCTACAACTCGGTATTTGCTCGGGATTTGCACGGTATTGCTAGGGATTTGCTCGGTATTGCTAGGTATTTGCTCGGTATTGTTAGAAAAAACTCGGTACAACTCGGTACTACTCGGTATTTGCTCGGTATTTATTCGGTATTACTAGGTATTGCTTTGCAAAAACGAGAAATACCGCTCTGTGAAGACCAATATCATGCAAATACCGAGTTGTACTGAGTTTTTCTACAACTCCGTACAACTCGGGATTTGCTCGGTATAGCTAGAAAAAACTCGGTACAACTCAATATTTGCTCGGTATTGCTTGGTATTTGCTCGGTATTGGTTATTGCCGAGCAAAATCGACCATTACCTAGTAATACCGAGCAATCTTGGGTCCGTTTCGGTCGGGTTGTCGGGCGCGCGTAAATAATGAAAACGCGTGGCGCGATTCTACTGGCGGCCGAACGTAGAGCTGCGTACGTTCACCGGACCAAATAAAAGTTCGAGTGAGCAAAACTTGGAACCCTTTAGTGAAAACAATTTTTAAAAAATAATAAAATATAATTATTTTATTTTATAAATTTTCACAAATCTTCTAAGATGAAGAAATTTTGTTGTTTGTTTCAAAATTCAAATGAGATTTTAAATATATTATGTGCACTTTGCTTCAAATAGTTATTAAATCATTTTATGATTAGGAAGTTATATGTTTCAAAAGAGATTTTGAATATTTTATTACAATCATAGTCCCGACTAATTATGTTTTTATTATATTTTCATTCTTTTTTAAGATTCTTATATCGTGCACGTGCATTTAAATTAGATAAAAGATAAAATTTTAAAACTTACCTCATATAAAGAAAATAATGTAACATATTGATTACAATTATGATAAAAAAATCACAAATGAAGTTTAATCTTATTAAATATATTATATTACTAATTTTCTCATTAGTAATTTGATTTTAAAATTATTTGTAGCAATAATTTTATAAAATGAAATATAATGAATAAAAAAGTAATTTTCTCTCAAACTTATTCTGTTAAGTTTATTTATTTATTATTACTACTTAAAATTTTATTAACATGCAATTAAAAAAAGAACTTATAACTTTAAAAAAAATTCAACTTAAAAAATAAATAATATGTTTATATATAAATAGAATTTAATACCAAAATAATTCATAGATGATAGAAAATTCATATCATATAAAACTATTCACCCAATTACATAAAACTTATCATAATGATTTTAATTATTTATAATAATATTTTTTTCATCTAAATAATGATAAAATAATTAAAATATTTATAATATGAACTTTTATTTTTAAAATTTTAGTCATGTGCATTTAATGCACGAGCATTTTTACTAGTTTACTATAAAATAATTATCATTATTACGTGATAAAATATATCTCTAGATTTGTGTCTGATCAAAATGCTTTTTATTTTATTTTTTTTAATTATTTTAATTTTAACTTATATCGTGAATCAAAATGATAGGATGATAGCTTGATTTATAACAATCAATATTTAGATTATTATATTTATAATTACTAGAACAAATTTAATTATAATTATTAAAAGTTAGTAATTAATGCATTTGAGCTCTGATCTTTATGATGGGAGTTATAGTGCCTATCCTTCATATCACAGATTTTCATGTTGTTATATATATTTGATTACTCTCGGCGTGATTATAATAGAACAAGTATACAAGTGGTTCTCCATCTTGAACATCGTTTTATTTGTGTGTGCTAAGACAACAATCAATTAGACATAATGGAGGTTGTATAAAGTCAGGCAATTTGATTCAATATTTCTCCTTGTAGTAAGGGAAATTTATAACATTAAAAAGATGCTTTAGAAAGGAACAACAAAAGCCTTAGTTAGCTTTTTATGGTTTAGGGTGTTAGCGCATACATTATATAGCTTATCCGGTACCAACATTATTTACAACTGTACTCATCTTTGCCTATATTAAAGCTGCTGTAATCTACTTTCAGATTAATGAAAACATATTTTCTATTTACTTCTCTCTGCTTCGGCTTATACGCTTTCTCTGGCTTCTTCTCTTTCCCTGCTTCTTGGCTGTTCTTACATGGTATCAAGAGCCATTAATGGGGGATCAAGAATCTTCTTCTTCTCTCCTGCCCTCCTCCACCAATCTCGCCGGCACAAATGCCGCCAAACCCATCATCCCTGCACCCCTCAAATTTCTTATTTCTAATATCAAGACACTTCTTCCCCACCCGCTTACCCCAGACAATTATGCAATTTGGAGGATTGAAATACTCCAACAATTTATGGCCACCGGCTACGTTGGACACCTCAACGGCACTATCCAGCCACCGCAAGACCCAACCTCTCCGGCTCATGGCACTTGGATGCTCATCGACAGCACACTGATCTCCGCGTTGTTCTCGACAATCTCCCCTACCATACTATCGTATGTCATAACGGCATCCACCGCGAAGGACGTATGGACGACTCTTGAACGCAGCCTACAACCCGCAAGCTGTTCGCGAGTTATTCAACTCAAGAACGAGCTCCACCACATACAAATGAAGAATTTATCAATGCAGCAATATCTTACCCAAGTTAAGACCATAGTCGATAACATCGTCGCCTCCGGATCTCAGATTGACCCCGAGGACATCATTCTTTACATACTCAACGGTCTTCCGGCGTCTTACAATTCTTTCAAGACTTCAATTCGCACTTCCCCACTACTGGCCGACCTCGACTCTCTCTACTCGCTCCTCTGCAGCGAAGAAATACATGTGAACCAAGATCCATCAAAGAAACTGATACAGACCACTCGGCCCTATATGCAACTTCCTACAATCATAACAGAGGACAGGCACAACGTCGCCCTCCCAAGATCACCAAGAACCACAGCTCAACTCAGAACTATCAGGTCCCAAATCCCAATCCCGCAAGCAACACAAGAAACCAACGCCCAACCTGCCAAATCTGCGGAAAGATCGGTCATCTAGCCATCAACTGCTGGCATCGATGCAATTTCAAGTACGCGCCAACAACCTCGCCCTCTCTGTGAGCCATGCTTGCTCAAACTGTCGGGCAACCAACACAGGATTGGGTTCTTGATACCGGAGCCTCTGTACATCTTACTCCGGACACCAACAACATTCAACATCCGCACGTCTACCACGATACAGACACTGTCTCGGTAGCGAACGGATCCTCCATGCCCATTCAAAACTCCGGGCAAGGACTCCTCCCGCTACCAGACACACCTCGTAAGCTGCGCTTATGTAATCTCCTTCATGTTCCATCGCTTACCCATAACTTAATTTCTGTCTCTAAATTAACGGCTGATAATTCAATCTCAATCACGTTTGACGCTAATGGTTTTGAAATGAAGGATTCTCATGATCATTGCCCGCTTCTACGTGGTCGTCTTTATAAAGGACTGTACTACATAAGCACGACACCAGACGGTCACTATGTAGCTCTCAACACCACCGTGTCTACCTCAAATCTGTGGCATGGACGGCTTGGTCACCCCAACAGTCGGATTCTTACCACTCTAGCTAAAAATATTCCCATTTCTCATATATCTCATAAGAATTTTTCATGTAATTCTTGCAATGTAGCAAAGAGCCATAAGCTCAATTTTAATAAAAGAACATCGGTTTCTTCTTCCCCGTTTGAATTACTTCACTCGGACGTATGGAGTCCGGCTCCGACTAATTCAACCACAGGGTTCCGTTACTACATTATCTTTATAGATGATTTCACAAGATTTACGTGGATTTATTTTATGCAAACAAAGCAAAAAACAATTTCTAAATTTAAAATACTTTGCAGTCACATTAAAACTCAATTCGGTCAAGTTCCCAAACAGCTCCAATCTGACGGCGGAGGCAAATACATCAGTTCCTCCTTAAAAACGTATCTCCAAGAACATGGCATTCGACACCGTCTCTCCTGTCCGCATACACCGGAACAGAACAGAATAGCAGAACGCAAGCATCGCCATGTACTGGAGCTAACCCGAACACTGTTCCATTCGTCCAACGTGCCAGCCCAGTTCTGGCCCGAGGTCGTCTCCACGGCAACGTACCTCATTAATCGTCTTCCGTCAACATCCATGAGCTTACAATCTCCCTACAAATGTCTACACCGCAAGGAACCCAGCTACGATCACCTCCGAGTCTTCGGATGCCTATGCTATCCGTGGACTCAACCTTGCAGTCAGGAGAAATTTTCACCCCGCTCCCATGACAATGTCTTTCTCGGATATTCTCCCACGCACAAAGGATACAAGTGTTACAACCTCGACACACAAAAGATTCAAATTTCCCGTCATGTGGTATTCCAAGAAACCATCTTTCCCTATCAACAAAAGAACTCTAGCAGCCAGCCAAGCCTCCCTACCACACCGAACCAAACACCACCACTACTTCTAGTACCTACATCCACTATACCACAGCCAACCCAACCCGTTCACCAACTACCCAGACCTCAACCACCGCCCACAAATTTCAGCCACCCCGAGTCCCTAACCAACACAGAAACCATTTCCCATAATTCGCCTACTACTCCGATTACGGACAACCAAATCATCCGTCCCACTCATCACATGCAAACACGCTCTAAGTCCGGGATCACCAAACCAAATCCCTACTACTCTCTTCTCAGCAAGGCTAACTCTACACACACCCCTACCTCTTACAAACAGGCAAGCACACAGAAGCACTGGCAATCAGCTATGGAAGCCGAATTCAATGCTCTTCAGGAACAAAAGACCTGGACTCTTGTATCTGCTCCAGCAAACAAACGTATACTAGGATGCAAGTGGACCTTTAAAACCAAGACTCTACCAAACGGTCAGGTGGAACGCTACAAGGCCCGGCTAGTAGCCTTAGAATACGAGCAACGTTATGGAGAAAGCTAATGTGAAACATTCAGTCCGGTAGCAAAGATGCCGACCATCCGCATGCTAATTACTCTAGCTATCAATCGGAAATGGCCGGTCCTACAACTCGACGTCTCCAATGCCTTCCTATACGGTGATCTACCTGATGACATATACATGCGCCAACCACAGGGATTCGTCGACAAAAACTCACCCAACGCTATCTGTAAACTGCACAAATCTCTCTATGGTCTCAAACAAGCTCCCAGACAGTGGTTTCAAAAACTTACAAATTTTCTACAAGAATGCGGATTTCATTTCAGCCGATCTGACCCCTCCTTACTTATCTTTACCAAATCTCAAATTCAACTCTATTTACTCATTTATGACGATGATATTCTCGTGACAGGAAATGACCAAACAACCATACAAGATTTGCTCCGTGATCTACACTCCCACTTTGCTCTTAAACAACTCGGGGAGATTTCTCTATTCCTCGGCGTACAAGTTCAGAAGACCGAACACGACCTACTCCTTACGCAGGAACATTACGCCCGCAAAATACTAAAAGATGCTGGATTTGTGGACTGCAAGGCTGCCCCAACACCCATCACGCCAACACCTAAACAAATTATACCAGACATTACACCTTTCCCTGATCATTCTCTTTATCGTCGTATTGCAGGTTCTCTCCAATATCTCTCCATCACAAGGCCAGACATAGCATACGCGCCGAATCGAACGTGCCAGCACATGTCCAACCCAACTACTCAAGACTACAAGAACCTCACAAGATTGCTCCGCTACATTAAAGGAACTATCACTTTCGGCCTACCACTCACATCTGGAAATCTTCAGTTCACACCTATACAGACGCAGATTGGGCCTCTGATAGTACCAACCAGAAGTCCATATCCGATTTCTGCACCTTCTTGGGTCCCAATCTTGTCTCGTGGTTCGTCAAGAAACAGGCCAATGTGGCCAAATCATCCACGGAAGCCGAGTACCGTTCCCTCTCCGCTGCATCTTCGGACGTCATCTGGCTACGACGTCTAGCAACAGAGCTTCAGCTTGAACAAACTGCTCCGACTCCAATTCATTGCGACAACATTTCGGCAATCGCAATAGCCAAGAATCCGATATTTCACGCCCTGACGAAGCACATACAGATTGACTATCAATTTATAAGACAGCACATTACTTCCAGAAACATTGTAATTCATCACATACCATCCGCCGAACAAGTAGCAGATATCTTCACTAAGGCTTTCACGCCTTCACGCTTTAACATTCTTCGCTCCAAACTAACCATTCATGGCACGAATGCTTAGTTTGTGGGAGAATGTTAGCGCACACATTATATAGCTTATCTGGTACCAACGTTATTTACAACTGTACTCATCTTTGCCTATATTAAGGCTGCTGTAATCTACTTTCAGATTAATGAAAACTTATTTTCTATTTCCTTCTCTCTGCTTCGGCTTATATGCTTTCTCTGGCTTCTTCTCTTTCCCTGCTTCTTGGCTGTTCTTACATAGGGTGCCTCGATTGATTTCCGAGTAGAATTATTTGAACAAAATTCCTTCAAAACGCACAGAATTGAAATATCGGAGGGATGTCTGCAACGATTATCTCATGTGATTAGAAAATAAGGCATCAATCATCTAAAAGAGAGATCTATAGTAATGGTGAACTTGTTTTTTTTTGGCAAGTTGAGCCCAACCCCAACAGAACTCAGTGGTAGTAAATGTGATGTTGATTATTAATATTTGTCTTAACTTAATTAAATTCTCATATTTTGGTGCAACAGGTACACTGTTAAAAATTATTTTGATTTAGATTTCATTTGGGACAAATGAAATCTTAATCACCCCTCTCACAAAGCAAATGTGCCACAATTTATTTAATACAAACAGTCATTCAGTACATTAACGTTGGATATAGAAGGTAACATTCATCATTGGGGGCAGCAGGACCTTATTCAAGAGTAAGAACACTTGACAGTTAATGCCAGAATCCCTGACAAAGAAACAAAAAATATCAGTTAAATAACTTGAATGAAATTGAAATTGAAAATGAAGAGCGAGAATTTGCCAATACCGTAAATTCACCCAAGCATACAACATGTACTCGCTTACCGATTTATCTGGATCAATGTAAAAAAGGTATTTGCTAGAAGGAACATACAAAACCGAGGAACAAATATAAGCTCAAATCTCAAAAGATATAATATTTTTCTTTATCTCCTTACACCTAACCTTAGCTATTTATAAAAAAAATAGAACATTCTAGAAATTTAAGGTATATAAAATCCAAGCTCTATTATAACTAAGATGTTTTACATTATACTCCCTTTACGTCAGAAGAGTTCTGATCCGTCGAGACACGTCATCATGAGGGAGATAGATGTAGACATCAAAATCAGTTCACTTGGGTCGAAGATTTTGAATGCAGACAAAAGGTTTTTTCATCTATCTTCATTTGCTTCAACAGTCGTGAATTTGATTAGGTATTCAGCATCAAAAATATGACCAATACAAATGTAGTGCTTCAATGATTTCTTCAATAACTTCATTGCTTCTTCAACCATACCAAATTTAGCAAATCCACCAATAAGGAAAGTCCACGAAACAGTATTATGGCCAGATAGGAAGTCAAAAGTTCTCTTGCAAGATGAGATATCCAAGTGAACATGATGGAGCAAAGCTAAACCTTCTGCAAGTCTAATGGCAATTGAAAGTCTTCGAGGCCAGTCTGGCTCATATTCATTTTAGGAGATTCATAAAGAAGCTGTGCCAATGTCCCATTAACTATGTGAGGGTGAAGGAGAAGAGCTACATCCTCATAGATTACATAACCAATAGGTATCATTAGATTAGGATGAATGAGATTCCCAAATCTCTCCAACTCTCTTATCATCTTGTTCTGGGAAAATTATTAGGTCCGGTCACCGCACGTAAAGATATGTCTGGACATCAATAAAAAATTGGCATGTGGAATGTACACGTGTCCGCGGAATTTTAAGTCAAGCGTGTCAAAAAGCGCAGGTAAAGTGCAGTTAAAGCGCAGTTAAAGTGCAGTCAAAGCGCAGTCCACGTGGCAAGTTTTAATTAGATGTCCGGACATATTTTTAGGTCCGGTGACTGAACCTAATAATTTCCCTCAAGGTGATGCAAAACTATTCTATCAACGAATTTGAGTTTTTTTACTGAAAGAACAAGCCCTGAAGGCATGTTTTCCTAATAAGCAGTACTGAAAGTTCCATTGCTTAGCTTATTTGTATCTTTCATAATTGCTTATACAACACTCTCAAAATCCACAGCTTGTTTGAGGCTATCAACAAAAAACATTTCCTGTTATCACTAGTGGAGAATCAACGGGTATTTCTTCAGCACCAATATCACTTTGATTTGCTTTCATTTGCTTTCTTTCTCTAATTGTGAACAATATCACAACTACTGAGACTGAAAAAAACAGCTAGACCAGATCCAATTACAGCAAGAACCATTTTGTACGAAGATTTGTGGTGATTATTCTCATACGCAGTATCAGAAATGTAAGGGAAATAAGTACTCAAAGGATCACCACAAAGATTTTTGTTTCCTAAAAAGCTTGAAGGAGGGCTCTTCTGAAATGGAGCGAAAATTGGCACTGGACCAATTAACTGATTATTAGAGAAGTTAACATCTATTAGACTCAGCATACCCTTGAATTCAGAAGGAATAATTCCAGATAGCTGATTGTTAGATACATCCAATGAAACCAGCTTGTCGAGCTTCCCAGCTCATGCGGTAAATTGCCAAGGAGGTGATTGAAGATAAGATATAGAGCGATCTGTAAGTTCTTAATCCTTTTGATCTCAGTCAGAATTCCAACGATTACCGCCCAACTGCAACTCGAGTAGTCTCACACAGTCTCCAATCACCAGAGATATCTCCCCGCCAATAGAATTCTAACCTAGAAGAAGCACTGCAACCTCGGCGTGCTGCAAATATTCTCCAGTAAGCTCCCATAGAATCTGTTATTGCTTAGATCAAGCTTACTAAGGCTCCTACACTTCGCCAGTGAGACTGTTATCTGAAAGTGCCAGGCGTGGGACTAGGATGGGAGGCAAGTTGCACGAGGGCGTTGGGAACGTGTCGGAGATGGGTGTTGGGCCAAGGCTGGTGACGCGCAAGATTGCCGCTGGGAGAAAACGCTGGCAAAAGGGGGAAACTGGGAGCCTTGTGGGAGAGACGAAGGTTGCATGACTATAGGCCATTGGAGCCCGCACTGGTTAGACGTGCTGGAGGGGTTGTGTGTTTGATTCGTGCGTGCGGGAAGCGGGCTAAGGATGGACCGCAAGGATTGTTGATATGGTGAATCTTTCTTCTCTCCCTTAGCTTCTTCCTCACAGTGGCAGAACGTAGGTGCAAATCGCGCGTTAGATTGAGGTCGGGCGTGGGAATGCGGACGCATGGGGGGGGGGCGGACGATCAACGCTGGAGTAGGACCGGACGCGCTTGCGCGCTGGAGGAGCGAAGGCGCCGGTTTGGTTGTAGACGTGTGTATTCTCTCTACGAAATAAATGAAATTAGAACATAAAATATCTAATCGATCAAGTGATACATTCACTTGAGCTGCTCAAAAACTTCTTGACTTCAATCGTCGTATGCAACCTATCTTCTTCTGAAATGGAGCGAAAATTGGCAACGCTGGAGCAGGACCGGACGCGCTTGCGCGCTGGAGGAGCGAAGGCGCCGGTTTGGTTGTAGACGTGTGTATTCTCTCTACGAAATAAATGAAATTAGAACATAAAATATCTAATCGATCAAGTGATACATTCACTTAAGCTACTCAAAAAACTTCTTGACTTCGATCGTCGTATGTAACCTATCTTCTTCAACGTCAATTGGACGAAAACTCATCTTCTTCGGCTTTGATCATCATCGATAGCCCATCTTCTTCTGCAGTTCGCCATTCTTTGCGAGGTTCAGGTTCTAATACCAACTGCTATAGTGGATCGAAGAAACGATCTGCTAGAAGGAACAGACAAAAGCGGGGAACAAACACAAGCACAAGGCTCAAAATGTTACTAATTTTTTAATTGATGTGGCTATTATTACAGATCTATGATTGATAATGTAATAGACTGAGATGTGATGTATTATAACTGAACACTTGAGGATTCACCAGATCAACAATTCGTGAGATTCGTCCTCAGCCCGCCTCCTACATCACCTCTTCTCTCCGCCATCCATGGCATCAGGTTCTCCCCATTGACACTTCCAAGACCGCTATGTTAAATTAAAGCTCACCTCTAAAACCTTTGAGCTCCTCTAGTTCGTCGTTTGCCCCTCGCAATTCAAAAAGTAGAAGTCAAGGATAGAGAGAGCAAGTCTGGATCATGGATGCATACAATTACTTCAAAAAAACCATCGGTAGTTTATTCAATTTTCAAGGAAACTCAAAGATATGAAAATGAGTTGAAAGTGATATACTGTGATTTGATATGATAATACTAAAAAGTAATATATTTTGAAATGCTTTAAAGGACTAATATATATATTAAATTATGATATTGATCTGAATGAAAGGATATACTAGTTGATATCAGATATATGATATGATAATTTCATATGATATCCTCAAGATCCATGTGGTCGACTGACGGGAGTCAATGGATGGGAGTCATAAGGAGTTCGAGATTGATTGGTAGTTATAATGATTTGGGGCAATTGTCACATGATTTAGGTGGAGTTATAAGGAATTCATTGATTGAGAGTTATAAGGGGTGATTGATTGGGAGTCATAAGTATATGAGCATGATATAAGATACCCTCAATTGAATATCTGATAGAATATTGATTATCGATGTTGATACGAATTACTAACACTGGTCACTATTACTTATAGCTATTGATATGATTATTGTTAACACTTATACTGACACTATATTGATATTGTACTAACACCGTAAGAATACTGATTGTGAACCTCCTTAAGTAAAGGAAGTTAAACTCTTAAACATCAAGACATCTTTTGGTGTAATAGTTGAAATTTTATTTAAGAAACTCCGCAATTAAGTGTGGTCATCTAGGAGAAATCCTAGGATGGGTGACCACTTGAAAAGTTACACCAACAAGACAAAACCGTGAGGCCCTTAGGACAAAGCGAACAATATTCGATAGTAATAAGTTTGGATTGTTACACTACTACTGATTACAGCTACTATTACAAACTAATATTATTGAGACTAATACGAATGATCATATGGAATACATATCGCTTAAAGTTACTAATTTATGTTATTAATGTGGCTACTGTTACTGATCTGTGATTGATGATGTAATAGACTGAGATGTGATGTGTCACAACTAAGCACTTGGTACTGATAATCGATATAGATATTGATGCATAGATTTTTTAATATGATTTATAGCATATTTTCTCATTTCATTACATTGATTTTAGTTGTAAGATTTTAGTTATTGATGGGCTTTTATGCTCGTTACGTGGTTTTACATGATTTCATATAAAGGTAAGGAGTCTGCAGCTTGAGGCTACATCATGCATAATTTTTTTTCCGTTCTACTAGTTCAACTTCCTTCAATTTTTCAAGTTTATGGATATTCGTTTATAGCCAACGAAGACTCTTGTACATATGATTTTGGGACTAGATATAGCATGTAAATATTGATTATAGTAAATGTGAATTATGTTTTCTGTTGTTTATATTTCTTTAATGCAATTAATCAACTCTAGATGTTTATCGATTTGGTTGATAAATGAATATAATGAGACTGAAAAGATAATAATATGAAAAGGAAAAAGAATAAAAAAAATTCTTTCACTTTAGATTTTGAGACTTAACAAGAATCAAGTCAAGGGTTACCCACTAGAGGAAAGCATGTAAAGGTACTACCCAAGCAGAATATGGGCCTCTTGTCCAATCTCTAAGGAAACTCGTATTAGGTGGGGAAGCTTATGGTTCAAGAACAGGCATGAGTTTAGAAATCTGCAATGAAAATCATGCTTAGTTAGTTTTTGAGATTGTGTAACAGATCTCTGATGACCTAGTACCTATACTTATCCCTGATAATGGAGGACAGACAAAGGCAGTGCATGTTGTGTTAACAAGCTCAGAAGAGGATACCAAGATTCTCTTGATATAACTTCAAAATCTTGAAGATGAACAGAATCTCACTCCGGGGATTCCATTAAGTCATTGATTTCATCTCAAGTTCTCACAATACAATTGTTTCCCACAACTGCCTCCATGATTTTACCTTCATTCATGAGAAGTTTCTCGGTCCGTTACCTGAAACGATGTCAGAATTCTTGTGCTGGTTGAAATTGTTATTCTCCGATGTAATTGATCTTAATTATTTGTTGAAGGAGTTTGGACCTTTAAAGAAAGAAAAAAATATCCCTAGTGCCCTGAGTTATTTAAAAAGGCAGTATTTTGTACCAATAGAACTTGAAGTTCCTAAGCAAGCTGAAGATGGGAACAAGAGCCATGGAAACAATATTCTTTAAGTTAGTAATTTTATTTGTTAAGCTGAATATGTTGTTAAGAACGCTCCTTCAAGCCGATCTGCACTCGAGCCCACCAGATCAATTGAAGATCATACAAACATTTTCAATCCAGCAACCCTAACACTTCATGAACCTGGTGATCATGGTAAGACTGGTTGGCGAATTGGTACTAACAGGAGAGTAAGCACAGATAACATACTCTTCCTATGGGGCTTTGGTGGTGCAACTTCTGCTGTGGAGCTAAAACATCGTCTCTTGCAAATTCATCCAATTTTTGCAGAAGATTTTGATGTTCACTTTGTCGATAAGACCTGCGCTGTTGTTGTTTTTGAGAAGTTAGGTTCTGCTGAGACATTACTTAAAGACATGGGTTTAGTTGACAATGTTTTTGGTGTTTTAAGAGACGTTGTTGTGGAAGGGTTGAGGGGCTGCAGGATATGATGGCTACAAGAAAGTTTGCAGGTTGGGCCTTAAGGGAGATTTAGTTGATTCATTGGAAATTGCATTAGTTGAGGCATCAGAAACATGTACACATCTAAATAAGCTTATGGACATTCCTAGAGGATTGCTCATGATTTTTACACCAACCTCACTCCCGATAGCACTAACGACTACCATCTCGATAGAGTTGAGCTCTTCTGATGCAAGGAGAGTATGATATGGAACATCTTAGTTATAATAGAGCTTAGGTCTAGTATATCTTTAATTTCTAGAATATTCTATTTGCTTTATAAATAGCTAAGCTTAGATGTAAGGGAAGGAAAAAATATTATATCCTTTTAAACCTTGAGCTTTTTTTTTGTTCTCCGATTTTGTGTGTTCCTTCTAGCATATCATTTCTTCCATCGATCCTACTATATCAATTTCATTGGGCAAACATTAAGCTTCACAACTTTAAAATGAGTACATTTACATGCTTTTGCATAGAAAAACTAAAATAGACACACGAAAAATGTTGCAATGCTATTATTGTTCATATTGCCATAAATAAGAGATTTGAGGATGCCAGAAAGTGGGTTGGGGAGATAAAAGAGACCGAACAGAGAAGTATAGGCTTACCTCATTTCTTCATTCATGCTCCTATAGAGACCATTTATAGAAAATACAAAATTCCTAAACACTCCAACTACCCATTAAACCCCAAATGCCAATTACTCACAAATGAACTACAATGACTGCAAAGAACAACTAATTTATTCATAATCTACTCATGACATTTATCAACACTAACAAAAAATCACCATTTAGCATGCATAACATGCAGAAATTCAATCAAAGCATTTAGAAGAACACTTTCCAACTACAGGAACTTGTTACCTGATTATTAAAAGCATCTCCTAGATAATTAAAGCTTCAAAGCTGCCAATTTATCAAGAAACCAAATGAACTCCCCGTTCTCAAGCTTAACCATTTGCACAGGCAGCAAATCATTTGATGAATTGTTGTCTAAAGCTTTCTTCACTGCATCAACTTCAGCAGATCCAGCAACCACCATGAAAATGTAAGCCGAAGCATCAATTACAGGAAAAGTGAAGGTTATTCGAACAGGTGGAGGCTTTGGAGAATTCTTGATAAATGTAACCCATCTATTCTTCTCACTGAGGAGCGGGTGATGAGGAAAAAGAGAAGCAAGGTGACCATCATGCCCCATTCCCAGAAGCATAAGATCAAACCTTGGAAATTTAGTCTGAGGAGAAATCTCCACCACCCCTCGCTCCACTAACTCCTTCAGCCTGGACTCATAGTCTTCAGCTGCGTGCTCAGCGTCTAGAGAATCATTAATAGCATAAATTTGGTCTTCTGGAATAGGAACCTGCATATTTTTCAGAAAACAGAAAAAAATCAATACTTTCCTCCCCTTTTTTCTTCTTTTTCTTTGCTTTGTTGAATATTTCATAGTTCAGAATGTAATTAGGATAGACAATCGACTGTTTGGGGTTGTTTGATAGAAAGTATAATTTGAGTAAAGCTGGATTCCTTAAATTCTATAAATTTATATTTAGTGAATCTTTATAATTTTGACCCCTGAAAATTATTTGATTCTAGATATCTTCTAGTCTGAATTAAATCCAGAAACACTGCTTGAACGCAAAGCAAATGATTTCAGTTGTATGGCCGTGGGATTTACGGTAGATTTAGTAGAATAAATTTAATCTATACTCAACTAGAAAGTTTTTAGAGCTTTCATAATGGATTTCACAAATCCATAGTTTGCCTGGTTTTGGTAAAATCCTGGACTTAATACAGGCAACGAAAGAATTTAAAAATTTTGAAGGTTTAGATTTAAGGATTTAGCATATATTCTTACTTATATTCAAAAATATTTTAGGATTTGATTCGGTGTTAGGGTTAAGAAATTATTATTTACGTCATAATTACGTCTTCATGGCTTGATTTCGGTGTGATTCTCGATATTTTTTTTTTCTTTTAAATAAGGCAGCGTCCAAACACACAACACATATTCGCGAGACTCGTACCCAGGACCCCAAACCAACAAACCAAGGAGAGCTGGGTGATTCTTAGGAAATTGATTTCGCCCAATAAATGGCTGAGTATTAATTTCAATTTCATTAACCAATTTAATATCTATTTATTTTTCATTTCCTCTCTCTCAAATCCTTCAAAAAGAACAAAGCCCAAGAAATTTTCCGAGTGGCGGTTCTCACTCGGTTGACCATTAAAAAAACTTGAGCATAAAAGCATGGCGTACATTTGTGCCCTGTTCAATTGAAGCTTGCAAGAGAACTGAATGAAAAGAAAGGCAATCAACGTGGGTTCTTCGGTTCATTCCAGTTTATTCCATACCTTGGAAAGGAAACCGTTTTTGGCGAGCATATAGTTGCTTTCGGGATCGTCCTTCTTCACAACCCTCTCATCGACCCAGAAGATATGCCACTTAGCCCAATCGACTTCACCGACATACGGCGGCTCCACCAACTTCCTGCGATCAGTTAGCAGCAAAAGGGAAAATGAAGTTGGAAAACGGCCAGACGGGTTGAAGAGGAAAACTGATTATATGATTTAGTCTCACCTGAGCTTTTCGATGAGGTAACCACCGGAGAGAACGACGGTGAAGGCGCCCCTTTGAATAGAGAACTTGCGGGAGAGATCCGTCGTGTGCTTGGCGATGCCCTCAACTAGATCGTCGTCGCTGTCGAAGATCTTAACTTCCTTCTTCTCGCCGGCCATTTTTGATGAACGACAGTGACGATAATTCTTGAATGATAGGAAGAAAGAAGTGGGAGAAGAATCTCAAGGTTGTGGGAAAGGGGAAAAGGGGTTTTATAGTGGATAGTGACGAAGGATAAGTGCTAAGGTAGGAAGAGTGAGGAGGATTCTAATCCGGGCTCCTTATTTATTACACGACACTAAAGAGAGAGAGGGAATAATGAGAAACAGAGAATTTTTTTTTTCTTTTTTTATAAAATAAAAATAAAAACTAAAATAGTTAAATTTTATAAATACATAATAAATATCAAAATTAAATTTATTTAAGTTTATTTTAGGATTAAAATTAAATTAAATTTTAAATTTAAAGAAAAAATATTAAAAGTAAATTTTGATATTTATTATATATATTTTCATGCATTTTTAATTTATACAAAACTTATTTTTATGTATATTTTTAATTATTATTATGTATGTTCCAAAAATTATATAAATAAATCTGCTTTTTTTTCATATTTAATATTTTTATGTTTTTTAAATTGTATAGTTTTATGTATTTTAGTGGGCAATTATCAATATATAACAAAAATCAAAATTAAATTTTATCTAAGTTTCTTCATAGAATTATAAAAATAAAAAGCCGTCAAAGAAATATCTATAAAAAATCCAATCTACCACTAAAAATGCATAAAAGTATACATAATAAATATCAAAATTATAAATTTTAATATTTTTAGTTT